TAGCCAAAAGAAATATCTGCTAAAAGCAGTCGATTGTATGTTTCCGACTGTATCGTAATCATGTGTTTATGAATTACTAACAAATAGTCATGAGACTAGGTGATCGCGAAAAGGTGAACGTATCCTGCCCTGCCGGTGGCAACCCTCATTAACACAAGCAAAGGTAAGGCAGTTGTTAACTGAAAAAAACAAGATATGGTACAAGTCAAATTAGAAATTGCATCGGACATAATTTGTGTCACTGATGCGTCAAATTGTAAATGTCCTCCATAAGTCTACCACAAAAAAACGTTTTGAAAGCTTTACCGAGGTCTTGACTGGTGTAACCTTGATGAAACAATTTTTGAGCAAGAGTCGTATGACGCTCTCTTGGACCTTCGAGGAAAGAGCATGCTCGATTGTACCTCAAAAGTTGTGAAGTGTAGACACCAAAGGTTGGAGCCGCAGGAACATTGCACGACAGGTGAAAGTTGACTCTTGGCAAGTTGAATTCATCCTTCTCGACATGGTCATGGGGATAGATTCTACTCACTCTTTATGCACAGATATAAATACTAAAACGGTTGAGGCGGTCTAACTGGTCTTCTTTATTTCTAGTTAAAGTGGGCAAATCATAGGAAGGGCCATTTGATGTTATTGAACGATATTAGATCATCAATATACCCAAAGCTTAAGTTAGATTTCTTGGCCAGATTACCTTGTTTTGACCTTGACCGAGCAGAAAATCTTATACATACACACTGAGAAACAACTCAGTGTGAAGGAGAGCACATTTGGTGTCCACGGGGATGTCTACTCCTTGATTCAATGTCCCAACACGTTTGAAATTTAAAAAGTAGTCAAAGCTGGGTCATAATTAAATACTATTTACAAGCCATCGTTTATATATTTCAGATAAAGTACAAGCCAAGAGTGGCTGTGAAGCATTATATGAGAAATTAATATTAGCTACACTCTACGGAATCTCTTTCGGTGGATATTCGAGAACGGTTATTCTCTGGCGTTGACGTCATGTATTTGCATTACCATCCATTGAGTACACACTGGGTGTTTCTAGATGCGCAGAGTTCAAAAGTTTGTAACGTAAATCTGAAAAGAAAAGCAGTCAACTAAATAGCGCTTGGCGCTTCGTAGGTCAACTCAATCTTAAGATTTCTTCAGTTAGTATAAAAGTAAGTCAGGTTGCTTCACCAGTGTCAGTGTCCCCCGAAGTGTAAGTGTCACAGAACAGAGCGTTGGTTGTTCACACGTATATATATTACAGTAACTACAACACTTGCCGATATATTACATGACACAAGGCAGACAGTTGAACAATCTTATTGACAATAATTAACGGCTTTAGGAAAATCATTGCAGTGATACTGTGTTTAATCCAACAACTGTTATTTAAAATTCGTAAAGATGCCGTATACTGTTTTCCAATATGACGATCAGCTTTCATCAGTAATAACAAAAGAGAAATCTTGTTTGAGATACCCCATACACGTCTATCATATAAGTAGATGAAGTGAGGTGAAATGTGCTATTTTATTAATATACATATATATATATACATACATACATAAATACATACATACATACATACATACATACATACATACATACATACATACATACATACATACATACATACATACATACATAGAGACTGCACACGTCATGCATTGGACGCCTCATGTATTCATGTATTGGGTACCGTACGCATTCATGCATAGGACACGTTTCAAAAACAGGTCTTACCTATTAGTTTTTACCCACTAACTTTAATATACGAGTTGTTCGATTTCTAAGGCACATTCCAATCACGGTCTGGCGACACCCATTGACCTATGGACCACATTTTGATGAATAAAAGCGACGACACTGTTCTATAATTGAAAGGTTGACATGTTTGAATTGTTATTGCATTTAAAAAAGACTTTACATTTCCATGAGTAGCTAGTCATATAAACTTCTCTCTGTTGAAAAAAGATCACGACATACTGCGGTATGTGTTTACAATCCGGGTAAGATTGGCGATGGCTATATTCACGTTATGGTCACATTCTAACTTTTCATGTCATGCTGCACTTCAGCCAGAATTTACACCGTCATACACTCAGGTATGAACGCGTAGATTTACATGTACGCTTATTTACAATTAATACATTAAATGACAGAAAGTAAGAGTAGAAATAGAGAAACGTATGTACATTAAAATTGCTCACTTAGACATTTTTTTTTTCTTTATATACATTCTATGTATGTACTTTCCTAAAAATGTTCACATGATTAGGTAAAGCTGCATTGCCAAATAGCATCAAGTCAATATTAACATCACAGGTATCTTTTACTATAAACAAAAATATTTTTTCTACAATTATGTAATGTTTGATTAAGTTTTAATGTTGTTTTACGCTAGAGTTAGAACAAATGTAGCTGTATCACAAACCAGACTTGGTAATGGTTGACAGCATGAGTATCATTTCACGCCGTCGGGAAGTCAACACTAGTTCATGAAACCAAGAGTTACCTCCCCTTTCGTCTTGTCAATGAGATCTTTGTTTTTCTTTGAATGGACGTTTTGAAAAACTGTTGTTCATGAAAAACAAGATTTATCTTCCTTTTCGTCTTCTCAGTATGCATAGTTTGTACTATTGTTGTAGGATATTCATAATTTTAAGTAAACGGAAGAGTATGTAATATAATGCCAGATAGGCAATGGAAGTCGGGAAGTCAGAACACTGCAGTTCATGAAAACTAGAGTTATCTCCCCTTTCATCTTGTTAATGAGATCTTTCTTTTTCTGTGAATGGAGGTTTTGAAAAATCTTTATTCGCTCACAAATCGCCAAGCGGCAACAGATGATTGGTTTACAGTGACAGCGGAATTGATGACCAAGTTAATGTTCACAAGTTCTGTTTTTCACATAGAATAGAATACATAATTGGTTATTATGAACATATAAAACGTTTTTAGAACACTGATCTTATTACACTCTGCTGCAGATGTACCATTTTTGTTTATTACGAAAGAAGCTAGCAGACCATCACACATTGTAACAATAAGATCCCCATATATATTAGCACTGACGACAAGGGCCTAGCAGGCCATCACACATTGTAACAATACGATCCCCATATATATTAGCACTGATGACAAGGGCCTAGCAGACCATCACACATTGTAACAATACGATCCCCATATATATTAGCACTGATGACAAGGGCCTAGCAGACCATCACACATTGTAACAATAAGATCCCCATATATATTAGCACTGATGACAAGGGCCTAGCAGACCATCACACATTGTAACAATAAGATCCCCATATATATTAGCACTGATGACAAGGGCCTAGCAGACCATCACACATTGTAACAATAAGATCCCCATATATATTAGCACTGATGACAAGGGCCTAGCAAGCCATCACACATTGTAACAATAAGATCCCAAAATATATATTAGCACTGATGACAAGGGCCTAGCAGACCATCACACATTGTAACAATAAGATCCCCATATATATTAGCACTGATGACAAGGGCCTAGCAGACCATCACACATTGTAACAATAAGATCCCCATATATATTAGCACTGATGACAAGGGCCTAGCAGAGACCTTTGGAACCCACAGCCCTGTTTATGTTTAGAGATATGCTGATGTATTTTATACGGGTATCATAGTTGTGTTTTGGACCTTAAATTTGCCGTGTTTCGGGGACTGTTTTAATAGCGTCTGTAATGTATTGTTCAATCCCGATTTTCAAGTGTATATTTTCTTTTGCCCGACAATTTATAAATAGGTATTGAGGTGCAAAGGAATGTATACCCAGTTTGTTTTGTTATGTAATATTTGAAACTTGAAAGAACGTTGTTAAGTTTGATTACGTCTGTTTTACCCATCACTTATTCTGCCAACAGTTTGTAAAAAGAAATCTGTGGCTTGGTAATTTTATGTAAATATAATGAAGACTGTGGTGTATTTCAGTGAATTCCAACTTTTCGTTACAACCATTCAGTTGAGTTTGCCTGTGCAACTGTTGGGAGACACCCTGGAATGAGCACATGGCTGAATAAACTTAGTCAGATGAGCTCTCTTGTTGAGTCTTAGTTACCAATACATGACAAAGACTGACATGACTTTTTCTGTAAATTGTACTGATAAAAATCAAATTAATTGTTTTTCGAAGATAAAATGTTTAAGATACCCATCTGCTATTTAGTAATTTTGCGATGTTTTTTTTAAATATTTAAATGTTTAAAATCAAATTATATTTTCAAAAATAAAACCACGTGGAAGTGGTTTTTTGGGGGTGCTTGCAACACTAGAAAGTAGATAAAAGTATGTATTTACATAAAACGGACGTCAGTATCGCGTGTGTGTCAAAACGAACGACTTGTAACGTTGTAGAAAACTAACAAATGATTAGCTGGGCCAGGACGACCTTTTTCAACGAAATCAGGGACATACAATTATAGAAATAGTCGCGTAGGATTAGATATGTTTGAATCAACGCTATATGCACGTCAACGAACGACTTCAGGAACGTGACGCGGCCTCTGCTGCTGATGCTGTTGTGTGGACATAAGGATGAAAAGGACGTAACTCTGCCCCGAAGTTAAACTGAGGCGACCCTCTACGCGTACGCTGTGTATTCAATCGATGTACCTTTGGGTTTTCTTTGTCTTTTAAGCAATATTCTTAAGTGATGCCACGACCTGTTGGTACAAAGGTCAAGACTCTGAGGGCAACTTGTGTTTAGAAACATGTATCATCTTTTCTCCCTTTAATCCTTGGACGGTAACAAGCTCCAATTACGTGAAGCAAGCCAATTCCACTTAACCTGTAGACCTAAAACCACAAGCCAACTCAAGGGCACTTTTAGGTAATACAAATCTGCCCCTGTTAATTGACATAGTGTTTGATTTGCGTTAGCTGAAATACATCCTAACATAATTAAAGCTTTCGCAATATTTCCATTGCAGGGTGTTGGATATAAATGCCGTGATCCTGTCACTATCCTCACATCAGGTTCGTCTGTTGCTGAATACCACTCCTCGTCCACAATGTCGCCTCTTCGTGCTGCCATCTTGGTTTTTTGCCTCTTTGTAGGCGTAGCTGTGACTCAGACTCAGGACGGCAACGGCGGCGACACCGACGGCAGCAACAAGGTCGACGAAGACCTTGATGAGATAAGCTGCAGGGCCACTCTTCAGCAGGCTCTGGATGCAAGTAAGTTCATCTTCATCTTTTCTTAAATGAGTCGTGACATCCGCCAATAGAGTGGTGTACGGGACTTTACAGGTCAAAAGGTCTAGACAGCCCCGGCACTGAATGTTGAAGGTTATACGCTATTCATAGGCTCAAGTGGCCCACATGTCTCAGGCGCGCCTATTAGGTCCCTTAAGCAGGCCAGAATCCGATAATTTGGAGTTTGAATTTCAGATTCACACAGATTATGATTCCTGGTTTACTAACGTTATGCCCATGACCCTGATTTAAACAAAGTGGTGAACGCTGCTTTGAACCGTTTTTCAATTACAGAGCGTTAGTTAAATTAAGTGAAGGTGAAAAAACTTTAAAGTGGTTAAAGCGTTTATTCGTCACGTCGAAGACCCGGGTTTGATTCCCGACATGGGTACAATGTGTGAAGCCCATTTCTGGTGTAATCCGCTGTGATATTGATGGAATATTACCTAAAAACGGCGTAAAACCATACTCACTCACTCCCCATCGGTAATCGCGTTGTCCCTGAGAAAAAGAATCCGACAAACATAATTCAAAAATTCAATTCGAACCACGCTAGGATTGTTTAGTCGTCAAAAGGAATGCGTCATATTAAAAGGAATGCGTCATATTAACATATAATAAAAGTAGTTCACGAAATAAATTACCATTTTATCAATACACGTCGATATATATAAATGTAATATTAAACTATCGATCTATCTGATGAAGAACGGATATTTACTGTTTGGATCGTTTTTTTATCATAAAAAACGCGTCAGCTATTCCTTTCTTATAATGGAGTTGGGTGGATTTCAAATCTACATGTACATAAAGTTCTTAAAAATATACTTTTATGAGTCAGTTCCAGCGTTTGCGCTGTTGCATCTTTTTGTTAATTGTATCATGTATTTTGGCCTTTAGCCTGTACTGAATCAACGTGGTCAAGTCCCACGTTGCAATTATTAATGCATCGTAAACTTGATAACATAATATTGAACAATGTGGTGTGCTTTTTTGGTTGGTTTGTTGGTTTGTTGTTTTACGCCGCACTCAGCAATATTCCAGCTATATGACGGCGGTCTGTAAATAATCGAGTCTGGACCAGACAATCCAGTGATTGCCATCATGAGCATCGATCCACGCAATTCGGATCGATGACATGCATCAACCAAGTCAGCGAACCTGACCACCCGATCCCGTTAGTCGCCTTTTACGGCAAGCATGGGTTGCTGAAGACCTATTCTACCCCGGAATCCTCATGGGTCATGTGGTATGCAAGTATGAGAGATGAATTGTCAATGCAAGAGAATAACCAGTCTAAAGTACCACCGAAACAGATTTCATTTAGCCTAAAATTCTACACACACTACATCATGGGATAGGTGTCAATAATGTCTTGCACAGCGTACCATGGGACCGACAGTGCCGGTTGAGTCTGTTTAAACAGTTTACAATTAAATAAGGTACATACTCGTTTATCCTTTGTCTCCATACACCGCCTTCGTGGCATGGTCTTGTGGTAGAGCGTCTGCCCGGAGAGCGGAAAGTCGGTATTCGATCCAAGGCCGCGTCATACAAAAACACTTTAAAAGATGGCACTTGTTGTTACCCTGCCTGGCGCGCGGCATTTAGGGGCTAAAAACAAGGAATGATGGGCTCGGCGTCAGTATACTGTGTCTGAATTGGGTATTCATGTTAAATTGCGGCATGGTGTTAGTGTGCTAGCTCTATAATATAGGCATTAGTCCGGACCAGTGAAAGCACACACACACACGCACGCACGCACGCACGCACGCATGTGTATGAACGTCGTAAAATAAGTGTAACAATCTTGAACTCGACGTTATAACCCATTTCACCTCACCGAATATCACGCAAGAAGCAGACGTCCAATCACATTTTAGTGACTGTTCCTTCGTGGTTGAAACAAGCGATAACATCACCAGTACTCGACCTTTTAGTCTGCCTCACAGACCAGGGGAAGACATTAAGAAATGATTTGACAAGTCTAGATTGCCTCAAGTTCTGGTCTCCATTTGTTATTTTTTGTTTTGTAAATAAGATAAGTTAACTTTATTTCTGAAACTTAATGTTAGTAGATCGACTGTCATGTGCCGCTTCATATACAACATAAACGTCTTGTATAGAATAAATTCTGCCTGCCTGCCTTGGTGCGCAGGATAGTACAGTAAACTACAGTTATCACGAACTCAAAGGGACCACTAATTTTAGTTCGCTATAACCGTAGTTAGTTAAAAGCATAACTACAGCAAATAGTCGGGACAAACAAAGTAAGTTCGTTATATCCGTCAGTTCGTTATAAGCGTGTTCGTTATAAACGTAATTTACTGTATATCGATCATATACCCAACAACAAAAGTTCCTGTGACACCAATATTTTAGTGTATTTTTCAAACAAGTAAAGTTTGTTTTTCAATATTGTAGTACATGTATGGAATCAAGTCACAAAAACGCAACTGCTACAGAAATGCAAAAGTTGACTTTTATGCAAGCCCCATGTATTTCACTACCCAAAAATGGGTATAAAAACATGTGCGTTAAAGGGATTCCATATGCATTGTTTAGCATCGTGCTGACAACAACCACTCAGAAAAACAACAAAATTACGCAATTATTCAACATTACGAAATGCCACGCCTGTCTGAAAATGAGCGTCTGCGAGCCATTGGTATGCTTGAAGCAGGATCGAGTCAACGTGATGTTGCAAGTCAATTTAACGTCCACAAAATCTACCATTTGGTGTTTATGGCAACGTTGGCAACAGACGAATGCAGAGACAATCCTCGGAGTGGCAGACCACGCGTAACCAATAATCGACAAGACAACTGGATTCGAACAACACACCTACGAAAACGAGTCCAGCCAGCAACAGTGACAGCAAGAAACATCCCTGGCCTTCGTCTACGCTGGACGGCCATGCAGTGGGGACAAGTTCTATTCACTGACAAGTCTCGTTTTCACCTCAGCCACAGCGATGGACGGATTCGAGTGTACCGACGTCGAGGTGAACGTTACGTCAATCATTGTGCCATGGAAGAAGATCGGTTTGGGGGCGGCAGGGTTATGGTATGGGTTGGGATTACAGCAAGACAGAGGACCCGTTTGATAGTGGTAGAGGGAAATCTCAATGGACAGCGCTACCGCGACGAGATCATCGGCCCTGTTGTTCTACCGTTTTAGCGTCGTCATGGCCCAGGCATTACCTTTCAACATGACAACGCCCGGCCTCATATTGCTCGACTTGTACAGGACTCTCTTTAACAAAACAACGTGAATGTCATTCCCTGGCCGGCTCGCTCTCCTGATCTCTCACCAATCGAGCACATGTGGGATGAGATGGATCGGCGCCTTCGACGTCAACATCGTGTTCCACAGACATTCCTGGAACTTCGAAACATGGACAGATATCCCACAGGACTTTGTGCGACGCCTGGTCCATTCCATAAGACGAAGATGTGCTGCTTGCATCGCAACCAGAGGTGGACACAAACGCTATTGATTTGTAAATTGACATTTTGGCATGTTCATGTTTTTTATGAAATCCGGCATTTTCTGAAGTCAGTATGGCAAGTTAAACCATTTGAACACTTACAGGAGTCTTTTATCTGTTGCAAACCGAAAGTGTTTCAGATTTGGTAAAAAACATTACTTTGCATTAAATCTTATTCAATGTCACAGGAACTTTTGTTATGCAGTATTTATGAATTTAAATGAAAGAGCAATTGGACAAGAATAACAAAACGGAGATTAAACACACCGGGTATTGGAAGTTAAATGAGCTATAGACTTAAAATAATCAGCATTTTTGACAAATATACTACCGGTAGAAAGAAAGAAACTTGAAAATTGGATGAGCCCAAAACATTACAACTGTTATTAAAACACTGCAAACATAAAATCCAAAACACAGCTATTTGTTTCGTTTTTAGCCACAATCAAATATACTTTCTTTGCCTGACAGTTCATGTCATTTTGATATTTCCGGAATATTGCTGAAAGCTCAAACCAATATACATTTCCTCATTTATTCCGATTTATTTTTCAGAGAACAGCCAGAACAAGAAGGGAGGCAACCGCAAGAAGCGACAAATAAACCCTCATTACCCCTACGGTAATGTCATCAACAACGCCTACCTCCGCGACACCTACTCCCACCCACACCACTACAACTACAACTACGACAGACGTCTCCTTAGGTTCCCCTCCGCCCCCCTCCTTGACAACCGCTTCGACAACCTCCCGATCTACCGCTTCTTTAACAGCTTCACCCCAGCCGGCACCGTACGCTCAACTAGTCGTCTTGTCCGCAACTATGCCCGTCTCAACACCAACTACGCCGACGCCCTGTACGACTTCGGCGTCCTCCCCCTCGTCAAGGTCAAAGAAGTCCGTTCCTCGTCAGTCACCAGAACCGTGGTTCAACCTGACTACGTCGCCGAAGTGTTTGGAACTCCAGGGACTGAGGTTCGTCTGATGAGAAATGGCTGCCCCCTAGCGGATTACCCCCACACTGCTTTCCCTTGCCTGACCTTGACCATTAATAGTAGCCTTCCTTTCGGTCAAGTCATCCGCCGCTTTGCCTACATCCCAGGATTCGGTTTCGACAACAACATGGTCGTCAACGGACCATTTGTTGCAAAATAACTTTTTAATCTCGTTTGAAGCATACAAGAATGTTCATGGTTGTTAGATATGATTTAGCATGAAGTGGCAAGCAAATGATGTATCACCTGGATGATTTATTTGATTTGGATCGACCACGTTTAAATGCATCTGTACATCATGACATTCTGGTATGTGTATCTTCATGAATGTGTCAGTTTTGATAACAACGGTCATCTGCGATAGCCTGTTTTCGTGTGTTGTCTTTTGTCCAATAAATTATTGCAGTCTGATCAAAGTCTTTGATATATCATATTTTGATGATGGAATGGAAGATACTGAAAACCTACAGCTGAAATCGCGCTGGATTCAGCATTCTCCATGTCCCGATAACGGATAGGGGATTTTTGAACTGCCATAACATACACTTTCAAAAAAAGAAACGCACAGGCCATCTTAAACTTTTTTCACTGTGTTCAATTATATGTGCATATTTCATTCAATTTGTTTGACAAGGACGAAACTTACCATGGTGATAGTCACATGTTCTGCAGACATAATGCAATACTGATTGTCATGTCACAAATCGCGTACATTGTACGTCCACGAGGGGGGCGTTCCGATCAGTACTCTGGTGTGACCAGTGTGGGCTGTTGTCACTGCTTTACGCCTTACTGACAACCTGATCCCGTCAGTCGCCTGTTCCGACAAGCATTGTCGCCTTTTACGGCAAGCATGTGTTGCTGAAGACCTATTCCACCCAGGATCTTCACGGGTCATCCTAAACAATAGGTATGAACGTAATTTCATGGCAAACAATCCATGCTTATGTCCGAGGTATAGACGCTATGTCAGGCCAGACGATAGGTACAGACTTTATTTCAGGTCAAACAACCCATGCTTATGTCCGAGGTATAGGCGCTAGTCATGTCAAACAATCCATGCTTATGTACACTCTTCAAACGCACAGGTAGATTTTTAGTACATTTATTGTACCTAATGAAGTCGATATATTTTATTTAATATCATAGATACAAATATGATATTTTGGAGCTCGGTAGTCAAATGTAGTCGTTGTACAAAGGCATTGAAAACTGTTCATTGTCATGTCACATAAGGCCACAAGGTTGCGCTGAACTCAGTATCTCGTGTGACCGCCCTCGGCACTGACTGGATAAGTGTACGAATTCTATCCTGCGGAATTCTGCGGAAATCTGCTTGTAACGCGTTGGCCAGTTGTGGGAGTGTCTGCGGCGTGTTCTGACGTTGACGTACACGTCGATCGAGTTCATCTCAGAGGTGTTCGATTGGGTTGAGATCTGGAGATCTCGACGGCGAGGGAAAGACGTTGATGTTGGCAATATAAATGTAGTCTACCGTGACACGAGCTGTGTGTGGTGGAGCGTTGTCCTGTTGAATCAGTTCCCTCTGGCGGTCAATGATTGGAAAAAGGTGAGGTTGAAGAATTTGATTCATGTAGCGATTTGCTGAACCAAATTTCCCTGAACCACAACCAAGTCAGATCTCGTGGTGTAGGACACACACACACACACACACACACACACACACACACACACACACACACACACACACACACACACACACACACACACACTCACACTCACACACACACACTCACTCACTCACACACTCACTCACACACACACACTCACACAAACACACGACGACGATAAACACCTTGTCTTCCATCCCGCCGGTGAAGAAGAAATCGTGGTTCATCGCTAAATCACAATCGTCTCCAGTTTCTCAAATTCCAAGGCTGTAAGGTTTGGCACCATCGCAAGCGTCGCTGTCGATAGATCTGTTGCAAAACGGGGACGGTAACTGGTCTTCGGGGTCGGATTCCAGCCTCGCGAAGATGGTTCCTGACAGTCTGGTCCGATATCCTCCTCAAACCAGGGATGCGTCCTGCAGTCTCCGTAGCTGTGACATTGCGATGACGTAGGTGGAACAGGCGATCCCGTGCAGGGGCGGTAACTCTTGATCGGCCGGTTCTCGGACGGTCTGCAGTGAAATTGAACTGTGTGTATCGGTCACAAAGGCGGCAAATGGTGCTGTCGTGGACGTTGAAGTTTACTGTTTTCCTCCATGACATTTTTGAACAAATGTGGAAACAATGCCGTTTAAGACATTGCAAATCGACAATGGTTGCGTTTTGACACACCGTTTGTCGAATATCAGGCCACCAACATTTCCAATTTATATACCGGAATTTTTGTGTAGTCAATTTCAGTGAATTACATACTCCCTTTTTTTAAAGAGTGTATGTGGTATAGACGCTTTTGTTTTATCATACCTCCATGTCAGAATGGTGAGAACTGATTGGTCTACGTAATCTTAATAGTATACTGTGTAACCCGTCTTGGAGGAGAATTGATTTCTCACCTGGAGTATAAATCCCTTATACCCCACCACGAGCAAGTCAGGCTGCTCGTGTATTTCTGAGAGGCAGAATAAATCCCTTTACCCTTTTCAAAGCAAAAAGCCGCACGCTTTTTCCGAGTCAGACATAACGCAAGCCAACCTCAGTTCAATCGAAGAGCTCTTTTCTATCATTTTTTAATTCTAAAAAGATATTTTACAATGTCATATTAAAACAGGTTTGTGAGATAAATTCGTTGTAGCAGGATCATTCGGGATGCATGGGGTTTTATACGTCCCTCGTTAAGTCCTTCGTGGTATAAACCCTAATGCGGGACGCATAAACTCCAATGTACCCCGAGATATCCTGCTACAACTTTTAATGTCATGAATTTATCTTACCGCAAACCTAATTATATTTCAGGCATGCCTAAAGCGTGCTTATTCCTGCTTTGGTCCGAATCGGTAAGAATAACACAGTTAAGCATCTATGGTAAGAGTAACTTAGAGTCTATCCGCCAGATCTATATATTGATATATTTCATTCGGAAGTATCGTAAATATAGGGGGAATGGCGTCTTACATCATAATCTCGAGATACAATTACGGTGGGTATGTTGCAAAGGTTTTGGCAATATTTCGAGCGGGGAACATAAGAAATGTTTCCTCGTTTTAACGGAGTACTTTGAAACTAATGGAATGGGCATCCGACATGAACGTGAAATGTAAGATAATAACTGTAACATTGATGTGCTTAATACTGCAGACAAACTGATATTTGAACAATTTTAATGAAACTTGCAATTTCCCCATGCTTCGCGCCCCTTTATCAAACTTGCCAGTGTTTATTCCCATCTGTATCTTTTGATGCTGTGAGCGTCCAGTTTCGATTTGTGGTTAATACGGTCAATGTGCCTGGTCAAATGTCACTGTCACCATCTGTACACTTCTCTGTTTACATACTACCTGTGTCGCACACACTTGGTGAATGGTGAGGTGGGGTGAAATGGGGTTCAACGTCACGTCCAAGATTATTGCACGTATATTGCGACGTGCATGTACGTGTGTGTGCATGTACGTGTGTGTGTGTGTGTGTGTGTGTGTGTGTGTGTGTGTGTGTGTGTGTGTGTGTGTGTGTGTGTGTGTGTGTGTGTGTGTGTGTGTGTGTGTGTGTGTGTGTGTGTGTGTGTGTGTGTGTGTGTCTGTTTCTACTAGACCGGACTGATGCCGATTTATAGTGCTAGCACACTTAAATACCATGCTGCAGTTTAACATGAATACCCCAATCAGACACAGTATACTGACTCCGAACCGACCAGTCCCTGTTTTAATGCCGAGCGCCAAACAGGGTAACAACAAGTACCATCTTTTAACGTCTTTGGGTATGACGCGGGGATCGAACCCAGGACATTCGGCTCTCCGGGGGGACGCTCTACCACTTGACCACGGAGGCGGTCCTTGGTGAATGGAATCTGGAACACATATAGGGTCTTCATATAGGTGCCAATGGTGCCGAACACGCTCACTCATCCACCTGATGTTACGTCGCCTGATTTGTGCCTCCCGCTCTCCCCCTGTTATCGGGACCCTTCGCTATATTAAGACACAGTCTATCCTCACAATCCCGAACTCAACCCAAGAAAAAACATCTGCAGTGTCGAGAATCTGTGAGTGCATACTCCCTAGCGGTACACAGAACACTGTGTATCTGTCCTCATTAAGTTCGATACAAAAAACACATCTTTGAAAAAATATAATAAAAACACTAAAATAACAGTTCATGTAAAGTGGCTCTTAAACGTTTGCATTAAGCATTTTTCAACTGGTACGAGGCGTTATTTGAACTAATGTCAACACAGAAAGAGTCAAAGACTGTTGTTTTTTTAGTGTTAAAATGTCAAATATAATGATACTGATGGGTCATGTGGTTCTTGGATACACACCCCGACCCAATGCAAACAAGAGGGCAGAGCGTCCTGGGGGAATAATGAACATCTACACAGTCACAACAAAATGGCAAATTCAAGTGCACGTGTCTTTATACAGTATTTAATGTATTAAGAACTCCTCCATTTTTTGTGTTATTTATTTACATGTTCATGAAGTGCAATATTTACATAGGAAAGGGTGGATATTTCAAACACCTAATGCTTCTGACGGTGTGCGGGGGCGGTCGGGCAGACTCGTGGTTAAAGCGTTCGCTCGTCACGCCGAAGACCCGGGTTCGATCCCCAACATTGGTAAAATGTGTGAAGCCCTTTTCTGGTGTCCCCCGCCGTGATATTGCTGGAATATTGCTAAAAGCGGCGTAAAACCACTCTCACTCACTCATTCACTCTGACGGTGTGCGTGTTGGTTGTTTTACGTCGCACTCCAATATTTCAGCTATATGACGGCGACCTGTACATAATGGAGTTTGGTCCAGACAATTCAGTAATTGATATTGTGAGTAAAGATCCACGCCGTCGGGGTACAATGACACGCCATCAACCAAGTAACTGCCAGACCACCTGAAACATTTTACTTGACTCTTACGACCAGCATAGGTTGGGACATATTCTAACCTGGAATCCCCGCAGGGATCTTCCTGGTGGATCTTCTGGCTGTAGTTGCGTTGAAGGAACAAAGCAGAAATTGAATTGTCTTAGTATTTTATGAATGTGAGAAGCGTCGACGTTTAAAGTGCTTTTACAGAATGATGAACACAACAGGTAAGATCAAAGACTTGTAGACATCCCACTTCCCCAAATAGCCCTGATTCTGATTCTTGGTTTATCAGCACCAAGCCCGTGCTCGTAGGTTTGACTAAAGTGGTAAAACGTCGGCCTTTAGAAATGTCATGACATCCTTATGTTTGCTATGGGGTGAGGTGAAATTGGGTTTACTCGCGTCCAAGATTATTGCACTTATATTGCGACGTGCATGTACGTGTGTGTGTTTGTGTGGCTGCTTGTACTAGTCCGGACTGATGCCGATTTATAGTGCTAGCCCTCTGAAATACCATGCCGCAGTTTAACATGAATACCCCACTCAGACACAGTATACTGACTCCGAGCCGACCAGTCCTTGTTTTAGCCCCTTAATGTCAAGGGCGCCAGACAGGGTAATAACAAGTACCATATTTTGACGTCTTTTGGTATGACGCGGCCGGGGATCCAACCCCGGACCTTCCGCTCTCCGGGCGGACGCTCTACCACTAGGCCACGGAGGCGGTTTGTTTGCTATGGCCTCTCATCATAATACACTACTGTTCAAAAGAAGTATGCACATATACGTACTGTTTATGAAAAGAACATGAAAAATGTAAACCTTTCACTTGACATAAAACTTCAGTCATTTACGGTACATCAAGCCACAAGACAATTTCATGACACTTGGTGAATAAACAAAATATATTTAAACACAAATTGGCAATTTTCCTCGCGTGCTTTATTTAGTGTGATGCAACCGTTTCATTTGTTATTACCATAAAATACCTGTAATATACAAAACTCACGAGTGAGTGAGTGAGTATGGTTTAGCAATATTTCAGCAATATCACAGCGGGGGAACACCAGAAATTGTACCCATGTCGGGAATCGAGCCCGGGTCTTCGGTGTGACGAGCGAACGCTTTAACCACTAGACTACCCGACCGCCCCCAAAGCGAAATGTACTGGTTCTCCAGGTAAACATTTAATATTTGTGTATGTGGTTTTTATGTATGTGCATGCGTGCGTGTGTGTGCTCTAGGTACCCGTATACATGTAATAGAATTCGCACAAACTAAAATATCATGGAAGCTAAAGCTATGGGTAAATGTGTGTTGTTTATGGGTTAATGAGTGTCTTAGGTTAAGCACTGTTATTAACAGTATTTCTGTTATATCAGCTTGATGCAGGAGATATACCCGCAGTGGTGCATATTATAGACTTAACAGACTTGTCCAACTCTACCGGTAGCACCCGCCACTCACATAATTTGCATAAAAAACACCGAAAGTTGATAGTAATGATATGATCAAATACATCAGACACAATGGTTTGCAGCATTCAACAATACATGATATGGCGAATAGCCAACCACTTACCTTAATTTATAAAATGAGTCCATTAAAAGATATGCTTCACAATATTCGATCGAAAATAAAAATAATTTTGATAAATAGTTGTGTTTTGTTTGTTTTGTTTTTTGGTTGGTTGGTGTTGTTTTTGCCTATACAGTATTTGTTTGCTTTTGGGGGTGGGGGTGGGGGGAGGGTTTATGGGGGTGCGTGGGAGGGTTTACACAGAATTAACAAATACCAAAACGAGAAATTGGCAAGAGTGACAAACGCTTCAAAACTGCTCATCCCCCCTGCCCATACAAGGATAACATTTTTCCTTTTGTTCGACACGTTCGTCTTCAACAACGATACTAAAAAAACAATTACTTCTCCTCTCTGTGTCACTCTACATACATCGACGCGCGTCGTATCTGGCGTATTAAACTGACAACGATATGTATGCATATATCGTATACACAACTAACAATCCACCGCATCAGCAAATACCGATAATTATCTTCAAATACGACAGATGGAGATGGTATATACGAGACAATTATGGCATTTGCTCCCAAATCAAACCTGACCTATACCTTAGCAGTTTGACTTTTTCGCGTCATAATTCAAGGGTATATATTAAGAGGCTCATGCTGTTTCATTCATCCCTTCAGCTGAGTCTTGGTAAACGGGTGTCAAGATGAGATCCATGGTTAATCTCCTTCTGTTCGGCACAGCGTTACTGCTGGCTGTTTATGGTGCTGCCAGTGCCAAATGTAGGGATCCCACAGATGAAGAAGGGCTTTCAACAGATGATGATTTCCTAGAAGCGGTGTTACGTCGTTGGCGTAAGTTATCCTTTGTCATATTTACAATGTTTTTCTAGTATATATTAAAACTGTTATGGGCTTATGGGCGCCGCAATTCGCTGATCAGAGTTGCGCCCCTAGGAAACGTTGTGTGTTCGAATCCAGGTTCGCTCGGATTCTAGGTTTGTCAGCACCATGCCGTACTTAGGGTTTAACTAAAGTGGTACACATCTTGAGACGTGCATCATATCGGGCTTTCCTCGAACATTAAGCTGACGAACCGTGGTATAACTGGAGTGCTGTTCAAAACGGCTTTAAACCCAACTGAGTCACTCACTATGGGCTTGGTGAAACGCGATTTGAACTGCATTTTGAGTCACATCACGGTGCGTCAGCTTGTAGTGAAAGAAAGCCGAAGTCATATGCTAAATAACGATGCAGGTCTTAGACGTTTACCACTTTGGAGAAACCACGCTAAGGTGCGGACAAGCCTAACCATATAATAAGGGCGACTTTGGGACTCGAACCTAGTAACTTAAGCTGGCTTATGTCCGTTGTTTTGTGCGTTCATCGCTGTCATCGGATGACCTCTAGTCTATGTGTACGGCCCACAAAGGATCCATCAGTTGATTAGAGTAGCGTCCTCTGTATCTCCAGAGTTCGGATTTCGATGAACCTCCACGAACCCCTGGATCCATCGCGCTCTCAAATGACCTGCCCTTGATTTTCATTAGCCAATTTGATTTGCCACCGTACTCAGTCTAACGTGAGGTGAGGTGAGGTGAAATGGGGTTTAACGTCACGTCCAAGATTATTGCACTTATAGAGCGACGTGCATGTACGTGTGTGTGTTTGTGTGGCTGCGTGTAATTAGCCCCTTAATGACGAACGCCAGACAGGGTAACAACAAGTACCATCTTTTAACGTCTTTTGGTATGACGTGGTCGGGGATCGAACCCCGGACCTTCCGCTCTCCGGGCGGACGCTCTACCATTAGACCACGGAGGCGGTCAATCAGTCTAACGGACAAATCAGAATGCAAGTTAGAAACCAGCCTCAATGTTGGGTTGGCCATATCAACAACTTGGCGGCTAGTCCCAAGAATAACGATAGAGTTTGCGAGAAATTCAACATTGAACAACGTACAAAACGACGCAAAAGAAAGCCCTCAATAGTCTTTTTGATGGAAAGGATGTCTTATGCCCATTTAAACACGATGTGGCAAGTCCCTATGTTACCAAGCAATCCCTGTGATATGGGAGGAGAGGGATTCTGAGAGTAAGGTGTCACAAGCCTTGGGTTTCATGCCTGGTACATTGGAAAAAACAAACATAATGGCGATCGCATATGCGCGTAGAGATATGCAGTTTAATGTTTTGTTGTCAGTCGAACGTTGAAATTTCAATTTCCCTTATCTCGACGTTGGATTGGTCGGTCTAATGTTAACTAAAATCAAGGGCAAGTAATTTGAAATCTCGAGAACCACGCCGGGAATGGATACAGGGGTTAGTGTAGGTTAGAGATGGAGGTATAGAGGATGATCCGTACCAAACAGATTTCACGTTTGTCATGAAAGATAAGTATAAGTATAAGTTGTATTGCAATGACTATGATGCCAACGTAAAGATATCATTGACATTTTGTTTTGCTTAAATTTGCTCGTCGTGTGTGGAAAAGAAAATGCACGAGATAATTAACCGACAATGGGATCCATCGAAAAAAATATTTCAGAACGTCCATATGTCGAATAAACAAGTTATATTTTTGTGGAAAATGTGACGATTAACTATTTTTTAAGAAGCAGATTATTTTTTTAAATACTAGGTCATCCAGAATTTCAGATGTTCGACCCCTAAATTAGTTAGAGTGTGTGGGCTTGGACCACATTTATATGATTCATCGAGTTATGAACACAAATTTTGTTTCCTTTACCATTACAATTGCTGAAAATTAAATAAAATTTATGTATATGTAGATGTCCTTGGGGACGACGACGACGACGACGACAGTTGTAAAGATGACAGCAATGACAGGGCGAAGCGGTCTGCTGACTATGGCTACAACGGCTTCAATGACTTTAGTCCTAACCTACTTGCATCCAGAGGCGGCCTCGGCAGCTACAGCGGCTACGGCAAAACCTACGGCGGGGGCTACCAGAGATTCCAGACTAGTTATGATGTGCCCAAACCAACCTACCAGAAGTCATTCAATGAAGGTAAATGGCAGCTGGACAACAAGCATATGGTGAAGAACTACTTCAAGAAAGGCACCTACGAGACGGCCAAGAAGTTCTTCATCGCTCTGCCATTCGTCAAGATCATTCCCGTGAAGACTACAACGTCTATCGACTACGTTGGGCGGCTGCAGACGTATGACGGCTACAAGGTGAGACTGTGCAAATACTGCAATAGCGGCCATCCACAGATCGAATTCCAGTCCCTGGGTAAACCTCACCGCAATGTCATCCGTCGTTTTAACTTCCTTCCCAACACCAAGAGGTCAAGGACGGAGTACGGTGAGCCCAAGATCATCCAGACTGGTCAAGCTCGTGTCAGCAATGGAGACAGTTATGGCGGATCCTACGGCAATGATGTATTTGGAGCTCACTAAGGGAGACGACTCTCATTACCTTACACCCATACGTTGGATATGCCTAGAATCTCTCGTCAAAACAGCTATGTTTGATATGCGAATAAACGTATATTGATCATTGATTGTTTATATATTGCAGTGAAAATCCGCGTAATGGTTTAGTTGGCACTTTACAAGACTTTACGACCGCAAGCCTAGGGTGCTGGTAGAATATCCTATTGATTGATCAGTGATGTGTTTTGAATAGTACCAACTTAATCTTATGCTGTTAAAAAAAAATAATAGTATGTATTGTAAACACTTGTGTGACATGAATGACCTGTCGCTAGGCAACATTATTTACACTTTTTTCGGACGTCCAAAAGAAAGACATGTGTAGCTATTGTTCTTAATAAAAGCAAATAGGTACATTTTTGTCAATTTGTTTTCAATACCTTTAATGGTGATGTGATGTGAGGTGAAATATTGCACTTGTATAGGGAGTGAGTGAATATGGTTTTGCGCCGCTTTTAGCAATATTCCATATACTCATGTCGGGAATCGAAACCCGGGTCTTCGGCGTGACGAGCGAACGTTTTAACCACTAGGCTACCCGACCGCCCTCACATGTATAGGGACGTACATGAAGGTATTTTGTGTCGGTCCAAGTACTAGACCACTCAGATACCATGCCACAGTTTTACAGGAATGTCCCACTCAGACACAGTATACTAATCCTGAGCCGACCCGTCCTTGTTTTATGTCCTTAATGCCAAGCGATAGGCAGGATAAAAACAAGTACCATCTTTTAACGCCTTCTGGTATGACGCGGCAGGTTCGAACCAGCGACATTCAGCTCTCCGGACAGACGATCTACCCATTAGACCACGGTAGAGGTCCCAGGTCTTATGGCAATAGGTCTTATGAAACAGATCGAGCAGTGGATAATGTAGATAAATGTGAAACTTAGCTGCAAAGGAACCACCCACTTACTAATCGCTGTGTAAATGTGATGGCCTTTTAATCTCATGATGGGGTTTGAACCAGGGACATTCTGATCCCTGGTCGGACGTCTTGTCCACATGACTATCGAGGTTAACCTGTCCTCGTGTGTACTAGGAAAGTATGTGATATGTAGAATGACCTCCACAATGATGGCATCATCCCCCGTCAACAGAAGGCACGCCCCAGGCCGCTATGCTGGCTGAGATCAATTTTACTCAAATTGTGTATGAATGTGTTCAGTCTAGCATTGTGAGCCATTTTATTAAAGTGCCGACTATACCCATCCAGACTTTGGGCGATTGTGAAGTACTGTTTTGGATGTCAATCTCTCCATGAAATGTCATGGAATATATTGTACACGACTCTATTCTTGACAGAGATATCTTTCCTTGATACACATAAATGTTTCATAATATGTCAAACGTATCTTATATATAGAATGACATATTCAGTTATTCTCAAACAATGGGTAGTATGTATAATATATGACAATCCCCCGTGAATGCATGAAATCACCATGAAATCCATCTGACCGCTATATCGTGTGGTCACTATTTTCAACCAAAGAATCAATCAACGGCTTGTTTCAGCGAGCAGGCAGCCAATGAGTGGTCAAAATAATGAGCGCCCAGTTTACATCGCACAAACGGCAATATTTCTTGAATTACAACGTGTGCAACACGAAATATAGGCTGCCTGCGCTTCACAAGGCTTTAATGTTGGACAAAGTAAAGTTTGTACACAGTTCATTCACAAATTATGCTCATATTTTTTATGTATTTTCATTTATTGATTGTGTATCATACTCTCAAAATCCTTGTTTCACTGGAACAGACTGAAATAGTTACACATAAATTGATATTTTATTTGAGTGAAATTACACATGGTCGAAAAAGGCAACTTTACGAATAGGGAGGTCTGGTTCGGGAACATGGTAGGCTGCGTGTCATCGTTCCCCGATGGCGTGAATCGTTGCTCATAATATCAATCACTGGATTGGCTGGTCCAAACTAGCTGATTTCCATGCCTCCGTCATACTCCTGGATATATTGCAGGGTGATCGTTGAAGAACAAACAAACATTAACTGTTTAGGCAAACCCGCACACATATGCAAGAAATGGTTCAAACCCATTCACCGTTGTTTTGCAACTCCATTAGATAATTCAGATAGATCTGCGCTTTAACAAAATTGACCCCCGGACCATAGTGAGTTCCATCCAGACTCCGAACACCTCGTGTCAAATTGAATGTATCAAACATCGGCACGTTATACTTCCCAACAATCCTCTCCATGTTCCGGTTGTAGAGTTGAGCATTTGTATTGGTGATTCCCCGTTCAAGCTCCCTTCGCCATAGTCCGAAGCCACTAAACCCAGACCAGAGCAACTTTGGCCATTTCCGCTTGGTGTGGTTTCGCACCGGGTCTATGATCGCCCTTGCAAAATTCGAATTATAGTTTTTGTTGAAGCGCGCCCAAAGACCACTCCCAAACATAACAATAGATTTGGGCGTGTCCAGAATGTTTTTCAACTCGTCTGTCATGAAAGTCGCTCTGTGATCAAACCGACCACAGTATATAAATTTCGCTTTCACCGTTCCGTCACAGAGAGTGGGTGAATAGTCAAGATGATTCCGACAGTTCTTGTAGGGAAACACATATTTCCCTGCACACTGTTGTTTTATCTCTGTAATGAAAAACACCAGCTGCAGGGTATATAAGCATCACTGTACTCTCTATTTCGTCTGTTATAGAACTGACCATTTAGTATTTTGTGAGTATGTGATTTTTCATTCATTATTTTAAGACATGAAATTGTTGTAATTTAAAAGAGGGAAGACAAACATTTTACATGAAAAAGAAGAAGATTAATTACAACGTCCAGCATGTCCATGACTGATTATAAACACCTGAGGATAAATTACTTTCGTGTACATGAAACTAATCACTGTCCCCACTATCGCCCACTCACACACACACATACAAACACATAGGCACACACACACACAAACACACACACACACACACACACAAACACACACACACACACACACACACACACACACACACACACACACAAAATTAACCATAATCCTTAATACAATCAAGTAAGGACTTCATTTATATTCACAGAATGTATGAGATAATTGGAATTAATATCTTGATTCTTGATTGCTCAAAACATTTACTTGAACGTTTGCAATGCCAATCTCAATAAGTTCAATTCTATCAAAACGTTTGCTTTTTCAACTTTGTACACCACTACCCACTTAACAAACTTGAGGAAGAAAATCTTTCCTTGATCCATGGGGCATTTGTTACTTAACGTCATGAGCATAGATATAGTTTGTCAAAAAAAGCGAATTTCATCTGAAGTGTACATGTATTGAGAAAACAATATATGAAGTGCTGGACCTCATTGATAACTTGTATATAAAATTTGGGGGTAACACATTTTGCATGAAGAAGGCATTCCCAATGGCACCAATCGGACTCCCCTTCTTGCGGATCTGTTTCTTTATCCATAAAAGTTGGAATTTCTGCTTGAATTGGCAAAGTAAAAAAAACGTATTTGGCCAAGACGTTTAACGTAAGCTTCTGGTATGTCGATGATCTGATATCATTCTATAACATCAAGTAGACAATTCCCTTCCACTAATTTACCCACCTGAACGAGAAATAAAGAAACCAGTGAGACCGCCTCGCCTGTCTCATATTAAGATCCATGCATATAGATTCAGAGTGGTACAAATTTGGTATAATCGAGCGTCATAAGCCTTGACACATTCAAGGCATCAGTGGAGCTTTCAAACATTTCTGGGGCGGTCGGGTAGCCTAGTGGTTAAAGCGTTCCAGGTCACGCCGAAGACCCGGGTTCGATTCCCGACATGGGTACATTGTGTGAAGCCCATTTCTGGTGTCCCCCGCCGTGATATTGCTGGAATATTGCTAAAAGCGGCGTAAAACCATTCAGTTCAAACATTTCCAAATATGACACATCAGTGATACATCAGTGATACATCGATGCAATTCCCTTTTTGACAAGAGATTTCTCGTGGGTATGGAAAGAGTTTTGTCGATTTTATTTTATTTGCATTTGAGACCCTTGAAGATCCGCGGTAGAATAGGTCTTCAGCAACCCATGCTTGCCGTAAAGGGCGACTATGCTTGTCCTGAGAGGTGACTAACGGGACTGGGTGGTCTGACTTGGTTGATACATGTCATCGACCCCAATTGCGTGGATCTGTGCTCATGATATTAATAACTGGATTGTCTGGTCCAGACTCGATCATTTACAGACCGCCGTCATATAGCTGGACTATTGCTGAGTGCGGCGTTAAACAACAAACAAACAAACAAATATCATACCGACTGAAGCATTAGATACCAGCCCGCCATGTTGATAGTCTCCCTTCACGATAATGAGGAAGGCCAAGTACATCTGACGCACGAGAGAGTCGCCATAGAAGTGGAAGGTTCCTCCTTTGAGAAGCTCACAGGCAGACTTGGACGTGAAGTTTTTCACCTGACATCTGGAACAAGAACAGATTACAGGCGGAAATCTGTGCACAACTGAAGATGACAAACAGAATTCTAACCCAAAACAATGTTTGGCTCGAACCACAGATCAAAACGCAGATGGGTTGGTTCACAGCTTTGAACTTATAACACTACCACATGTATGAGGTGAGCACAGGCATGGTGTTAACAAACCAAACTTTAAATTCAAGAGGAACCTTGGATTCGATCAAACGACCATTTGAGCTGTGTACAAAGCTGTGTGCATAGCAATAGCAGCACTTTAGACAGGATCACACACGTCGGATGCATCCTTTTCTAGTGTAGCGGTTAGATTCTGACCATAGTCTCTAACCAAACCATTGTGTACATGCAATAGCAGCACTTTAGACAGGATCACACATGTCGAATGCATCCTTTTCTATTGTAGCGGTTAGATTCTGACCATAGGCTCTCACCAAACCATTGTGTGCTGTTCACTTGTAGGCTTATCATATACACGCATAGTTTTATCTCTTCATTTTCTCGTTAGGGATGCTTGGGACTGGTTCCTTGTGGTAAAAGGGGCGGTGGGGTAGCCTAGTGGTTCATGCGTTCGCTCGTGACGCCGAAGGCCCGGGCTCGATGCACCTAATGGGGACAATATGTGAATCCCATTTCTTGTGTTTATAGCAAAAAGCGGCGTAAAACTCAACTCACGCATTTCATCCTTATGGTAAGTCGATCGGGGGGTCACAATATATAAACTACCCGAGAACGTGTCAATGATTACATGGATCGTTGCCCATGGACTCAGCCTCTGGTTTGCCTGAACAAATATTGAGGTTTTTTCAGTTTGCCTGACCAGATATTGAGTATTTGCTGTTTGCCTGACCAGATATTGAGTATTTGCTGTTTGCCTGACCAGATATTGAGTATTTGCTGTTTGCCTGACCAGATATTGAGTATTTGCAGTTTGCCTGACCAAGTTATGAGTATTTGCAGGTCGCCGTGAAATGGCCGAAATATGTCGCTTTACTGTCTTTATTCCTTAAAATATAGATATTTTATAAATACATTTTCATCTACATGCTAAAGCTGAAAGGGACCCTACTTTGATATTAAATGCTGGAATATGATACAGACAGTTGTAATGTAACTTGGAGAAAATTGAGTGAATCCTTATGATATGAGTTAAGTTTGCACCGTTTACACCATACAAATCCCGACATTAGGAAAAGTGATGCATGTCTAAAGTTATCGCTGAGCAGTTTTACTCAAAGGCATCTATTCCTATCAAGACATTTATCCAAATTATTTCGACTAAGTCTATGAGGCCAAGTGAACGAGCAAGACCTGAACAAACGCTTGATAGGACAGTACAATTCAACAAATATCTCGTTAAATTGAAGAATACATTTAAAAATATATAAATTTACAAAATGCAATCTTGATTCATGTGATGTTTACTGTCATAAAAAACTGCACCAAACAATGTCTTTCACATGAATAAGACTGGCAGTTATGAAAACGTGGAGACAGAAAGAGTTATGTCTTTTAGACGAAAGACTTTTTTCATAGTCTTGTCTCTCTTACATGCCCCAGTTTTCTTTGTCAGTTGTTTAAAAAGCATATATACTAAAAAGATGATTGAATTCTTGTTGCGAATATCAATTGTCCTATATATAATAAGTAAATTTCCGAGAGAAAAAAGTAAATAACATTTGTGAAAAGGATTTAAACGTCCAAGTGAAAGTGCTAAAATCAAACGCTCTGTAGTCGGCTTCCAAAACAAACATTTTGGGGGCGTTGCCTAAAGGTATCGTGAGAAGGTGCTCATTAGCTGGTGTGATTCTTAGCGGTGAGTGTCATACCGGTTTTACGAAACGAGTGTCAGAATTCTCGTATTTCCCGAGCGAGAAAATTATTTTTCTTCTGCCGTATAAAGAACCTTAATTTTCATTGGTTAATATATATCACGTGACGAAACAATACATTTAAATGCTGACCTAACAATAAAAAACCTACCGTTGCAAGCGTGGTCAAATCACGTGACCCTTCACATGATCACTAATGACCTGTCACCTGGTCAATAGTGACTTCATGCGCGAATGGCATTACGCGATTTGACCATTATTCTAAAGATCTCGAATTGTTGTTTAACACAGGGCGGTGGGGTAGCCTAGAGGTTAAAGCTTTCGCTTTGTCACGCCGAAGACCCGGGTTCGATTTCCAAACAGGGTTGCAATGTGTGCAGCCCATTTGTCGTGTCCCCTGCCGTGATATTGCTGGAATATTGCTAAAAGCGGCGTAAGACCATACTCACTCACTCACTTATTGTAACAAATCAGAAGACTGCAAAAAGGGTTAACTTTAGCACGTTAGAACATGAATTTCAGTGTGACAAAAGACTTGATAAATCTTGGCGAGAATATTGTTATGTGTAAGGTTATTAAACAATTCTAAACTTACTCTCGGCGAGGTCATTATACGAAAACCACCGAGTGGGTTGACTAATCGAGTCATTAACCTCTCCAAGAGTACCTTATTCATAACTACATTTCGCAGATTTTCTATTACTCACGGGAGCATTTATAGGGACGGAGGGGGGGGGGGGGGCATTTGTTACAATCTATTTTTCCAATCTGTATTCTACAAAACTATATACTTACTAAATATTTTCCAAGAATCTATTTGAATTTACTTTTGACGTTTGAGTATTTTTCACACACAACTCTACATTCTTATCACCACTGCCAACAAACTATTCATTTTGGGCACTTGGGAATATTTCTGAGCACGCTATTCTTTTTAAAATTCACATTCAGTCAGCCTGACCACCCGATACCGTCAGTCGCCTTTTACGGCAAGCATGGGTTCCTGAAGACCTATTCTATCCCCTATCTTCATGGGTCTGCCGCGGGTGCTGTTAGGACCAATGCAAACGTTGTTGGCGGTGATTTTGAGTCAGTGTGGGCCCGACGTAAGGACGACAACATCTGATTTCTGCCGCTCTTAGCCACGGGATGGCGTTGACCTTAAATGGTTGCAGTTGTCTGTGATGTTCGTCGCTGTCTGTCACGTAGATATGTCACCCGGATGTAACGGTCCTGCGCTGGAGTAGTGACACTCGTTCGTCCAGAACGAGGCCGACCTTGGACACAAGGTTAATGCCTTGCGAACAATCTGGGTAGACACGTGACATCCATAGTGCCTCGCAGTTGACGTTGATCCGGCTTGTAGCATCCAAATGGCAACGCCTCTCTGGAGTAGAGTTAATCACCCCATGTTTCCTGTCCTTTCTCAAAGACGAGTGTGAAATGCTTGGTGTCTCTTTTTATATGGTGGCTTATAAAGGATGGACAAGGGGGACAAAGCATGCATTTTTGCATGTGATTTGCGCTACACGTGCAAAAAAACGTCAAACGAGGCCGGTTTTATTATATTAACCCACTGAGATACCATGCCGCAGTTATAACATGAATACCCCACTCAGACACGGTATACTGCCTCCAAGCCGACAGTCCTGGATTTATACACTTAATGTCGAAGGCAGAGTAACATCAAGTACCTTACTTTAACGTCATTAAACGCGCCTTCCGCTCTACTGGCAGACTCTCTTTCCAATACACCGTGTAGGCGATTTATGAAAGAAAGAAACCCGGAGAATGATATAATTGTAAGAGGCAAAGCCATTATTGCTCTTCGTCCCCTATTACTGACATGTCATTAAAAATGTTTCTGACAGGAATGTTTATAAACACTCGTATTCCCGACCTTAATATGCTCAATGTCGCATTGAAATCGATCATATTCTGAGGGTGGGGCTGCATTATTTGATGTATACAATTCACGCCGACGACCCGGGTTCGATTCCCCACATGGGTACTATGTGTGAAGCCTATTTTCCGGTGTCCCTTGACGTGATATTGCTGGAATATTGCTAAAAGCGGCGTAAAACCATACTCACTCACTCCCTATGTATTAGGCATCTTTTACATTTGCTGTTGGCTCAGCCTCCAAACTACATATTTGATCCTTTTTTAAAATGGGTGGCCTGTAGATCTCTTTGACAAACTCTTCTTTCTGAATAGCCTTGATCTTTAGTCACAGGAATGTTTATAAGCACTCGTATTCCCGACCTTAATATGCTCAATGTCGCATTGAAACCGATCATATTCTGGAGGGTGGGGCTTTTCAACGGAGTGTCTAGTGTCTACGATACACGCCTGTTGACACCATAACACACAATCAGTCAAGCCTGACTGTCTGGTGGGGCACGGGTGGCCCAGTCGTCTGAGGCGCCGCGAGTTGTTATTGTTAAGACGTCACGCAGATATATCGCATAATGATAAATTCCGAAGAAACTTAACATAACCACCGACACTGTCAGCTACAGTTTCACCGCACCAAAAGAAAGAGTTAAGAGTATCGGGGAAGTTGGAGACCGAACGCCAGGCGTACGTAGCGCCATAAGTCCCAGTCTTTAACATAGCCTTTTGGGCGGTTGGGTAGCCTAGTTTTTAAAGCTTTCGCTAGTCACGCCAAAGGCCCGTGTTCGATTTCCTATATAACTACAATGTGTGGAGCCCATTTATGGTGTCCCCCGCCGTGATATTGCTGGAATAGTGCTTAAAGCGGCGTAAAACCCTACTCACTCACTCACTTTAACATAGCCTATTGGGCGGTTGGGTAGCCTAGTGGTTAAAGCTTTCGCTAGTCACGCCAAAGGCCCGTGTTCGATTTCCCATATAACCACAATGTGTGGAGCCCATTCATGGTGTCCTCCGCAGTGATATTGCTGGAATGGTGCTCTTGACTTCTTTTCGACGGAGCAAATGAAACCAGATCCGTCGATTTTATTCTGGAAATTGAGGACAGATTTCCAACGCTGTTTAGTCGCTTTCAAATTAATCATTTTTTATTAATGTTCCGTTGATGTTTTGTCCAATGTCCATACACGAAAACAACCGTAAGTTTGTAGTGTGACATCACTCACTCTGAAATCCATGGATACCGAACTACATCAGTGCGATATTGCGTTGTAAGATGTTGTAACTTTACGTTCCCGTCCGATATCACTCCACCGTTTGTCTCGAACACCTAACTCGATATATAGTCCAATAATGATACGGTAAACAATCAACACAATCTATTTGCCCGGATGTGTGTTTTGAAAGACCTTTTCCTTTCAGGTCCCCTGCTTGGTCGGTAAACACAGATATAAAGAAATACCCTAGGGTATAAACATTGTGGGCGCAGTATATTAACCGGTCGTGTCACATTTGCGCCATGCCACACCGTCTATTAAAGTAATGGCCCGATGAGTGATCTTGCCACATAAGAACACTGTGTACTCTCTCTCTCTCTCTCTCTCTCTCTCTCTCTCTCTCTCTCTCTCTCTCTCTCTCTCTCTCTCTCTCTCTCTCTCTCTCTCTCCGACTTACCTACTATCCTCAGGAATCCAATTTGAATACTCAGCATGCTTTTGAGTTCGAAGGTCATAACATCCATCACAAACACATTCTCTTATTGTTTTCCTTTGGCATACGTTGTCATAACAACACGGAGTACTTCCTCTTGGCTCACACAACACCCGGAACCAGCCTGCTTCCTTCCGCCTGTCCATCCAACCAAAGTAAGATATATTTCCACACTTTTTATCTGGCCTCTCAAACGTCCCATTTCTTGTCATAAAATAGAGCCCTTTACGTAAGTATGTTTCAATGTCGTCTTCCTCTTCTGCAGATAACGATCTACTAAACCATGCGCCTGTCATCATATGACGCAATACACTTGGACAAGAAGGGACTATATTTTCAGAGCGGATGGATACATCATAATGCATTGTTTGTTGAAACCCTGTATACAGCAACACAGCCAGGGCAGACAGGCAAGAGTAGACGACAGTCTTGTATATCCTCCTCATGGGTGTCTTTAAGTGAGAAAGATAAATAAAACAGGAATTAGTACAACTTAAATAAAACATCTTCAACATAACCTTGATACGTGTGTACAAATAGAACAGAGGAAATTATTTGGGTTTTGTCTTATGGTCCAACTGAGCTAAACTACAAAGCAAAAGAAGGAATACACTGGAAAAAGTGATTTGACAAAAACATTACAAACGTTATCAAAACGTTACAAGGCTAAAAAAAGTCGCAGAAACACTGCAAACTTAAGGTCCAAAACGTATATGATATTCGTATAAAATGCATCCCCGTCGAATAACCATTTCTTGTGTGTTTCAGTTTTAGTCAAAATCAAACATGGGTGTATACTTTCTTTTGCCCGACAGATAAGGTCCCCATCAAACATACCACCATTGAACGCAGTGAATATTTGAAACAACCTACAGGAATGTACTGCTATAGTGGATGATCAAAAGGTAATCTATTTTTTAATCGACTGGTTGAGTGTGTTTGTTTGTCACTCTATGGTTTGGTCAGGTCATAGATTTGTCAACATTATTACAACCAGCTGAACCAGTCAACATTTTGTATTATTTACACAACAATTAACGATTCGGTACACATTTCTTTAATATATTATAATTATTGCATAATTTAATATTCGATTCCCCAGATGGGTACAATGTGTGAAGCCCATTTTCCGGTGTCCCTTTACATCTGTCGTTGGCCCACCCTACAAACTACATAATTGATCCTTTGTAAAATGGGTGGCCTGTAGATCTCTATGACAAACTCTTCTTTCTGAACAGCCTTGATCTTTAGTCACGAAAACTAAATATAGGATTTAACGACAACGCAAATATTTTAGACGTTATAATGGGAGTTTAAACAGGTAAATGCAGACATTTCGGATTCAGGGCAAACATAGATATATACAGGTAGCATGGAAAAACACTCTTTGAAACTCGCCATAAAAAGGATTTTGAAAATGTATTTGAAGAAGCTATATTTTATGTGTATGAACATAATACATTGTAGTATAAAGGAGATACTGCCATTCTTGGTGTGTCAAAAAAACAACTGAAACATGTATGTAGACAAATAACTAACCTATAACTTAATAACATTTGTTTCTAGGTAGAACAATTGTGTTTTAATTAAAGAAATAATATTAGTGTAAGGGTATGTTTTAATATTCGTAACGTTATTGTAATGATTGCTTTTTGAATAATATCAGTGTTTTTGAAAAAACAAAACACTTTCAGCGTTTCTAAAATACATTTTGTTTTAAAAGAAAGTTAACATGTTCCGAATGGCATTGAACCGCATTGTGGGTCTGAACCGGATGATGGGCATGAACCGCACCATGGGAATGAGCCGGATGTTGGGAACGAGTCGGAAGGTAGGAACGAGTCGGAAGGTAGGAATGAGTCGGAAGGTAGGAATGAGTCGGAAGGTAGGAACGAGTCGGAAGGTAGGAACGAGTCGGAAGGTAGGAACGAGTCGGAAGGTAGGAATGAGTCGGAAGGTAGGAACGAGTCGGAAGGTAGGAATGAGTCGGAAGGTAGGAATGAGTCGGAAGGTAGGAACGAGTCGGAAGGTAGGAATGAACCGGATGGTGGAGATGAACCGGATGGTGAGAATGAGAATGAGCCGGATGGTGTGTATTAACCGAATGCAGGGAATGTGTCGGGTGGTAGTTATGAGCCGGTATGTGGGATGGGCCGGATGGTGTGAATAAACTGGATGGTGGGAATGAACCAGATGGTGAGAATGAACCGAATGGTGGGCATGAACCGGAGAGTAGGAATGGACCGGATGGTGAGAATGAGCCGGATGGTGGTACTGAGCCGGATGGTGAGAATGAGCCGGATGGTGCGAATTTACCGGAATGTGCCGGATGGTGGGAATTAACCGACTGGTGGGAATTAACCGGGTGGTGGGAATTAACCGGGTGGTATGAATAAACCGGATGGTGGGAATGAGTCGGATGGTGGGAATTAACCGAATGGTGGGAATTAACCGGGTGGTATGAATAAACCGGATGGTGGGAATGAGCCGGATGGTGGTACTGAGCCGGATGGTGCGAATTTACCGGATAGTGTGAATTAACCGGAATGTGCCGGATGGTGGGAATTAACCGACTGGTGGGAATTAACCGGGTGGTATGAATAAACTGGATGGTGGGAATGAGCCGGATGGTGGTACTGAGCCGGATGGTGCGAATTTACCGGATAGTGTGAATTAACCGGAATGTGCCGGATGGTGGGAATTAACCGACTGGTGGGAATTAACCGGGTGGTATGAATAAACCGGATGGTGGGAATGAGTCGGATGGTGGGAATTAACCGACTGGTGGGAATTAACCGGATGGTGGGAATTAACCGGGTGGTATGAATAAACCGGATGGTGGGAATTAACCGACTGGTGGGAATTAACCGGGTGGTATGAATAAACTGGATGGTGGGAATGAGTCGGATGGTGGGAATTCACCGACTGGTGGGAATTAACCGGGTGGTAGGAATGAACTGGATGGTGGGAATTAACCGACTGGTGGGAATGAACTGGATGGTGGGAATTAACCGGATTGTGGGAATTCACCGACTGGTGGGAATTAACCGGGTGGTGGGAATGAACTGGATGGTGGGAATTAACCGGGTGGTGGGAATGAACTGGATGGTGGGAATGAGTCGGATGGTGGGCATGGGCCGGATGTTTCATTTCCCCTCGCAAGGTTGTTATGCTCAATGTTAATCCGTTAGGACCTGGTTATCCCTATTTTAGGGGTTATGCATTTCAGGTAGCCAATTCAATTTAATTTAGATGACATGATAAAACTGGACAACATTTTACAAATATTTTTAACGATACGTGTGGTATGTCAGGGATTGGGTGCAGTGACAAATGCAAACCCAACACGTTCCAATATCTAATACCTACTCCGTGGTCTAGTGGTAGAGCGTCCGCCCGGAGAGCGGAAGGTGCGAGGTTCGATCCCCGGCCTCGACATAATAAAAGACATTAAAAGATGGTACTTGTTGTTACCCTGTCTGGCGCTCGACATTCAAGGGCTAAAACAAGGTCTGGTCGGCTCGGAGTCGGTATACTGAGATAAACTGCGACATGGTATCTCAGTGAGCTAGCACTATAAAATCGGGATTAGTCACAAGCAGCCACGTACACACACACACACACAAACTAACTAACTAAGTAACTAAATAACTAAATAAGTTCAATGATCAATGATCTTGAACGCGACGCTAAACCCCATTTCACCTCACCTCACCAATATCTAACACATGCTAATGTTCAAATTGATAACGCGATTCAGACATAGTCCGGGGTCAGGTTGGTTACCCCAGGCACACCCCAGGTACACCCCAAGTACACTCGAGGTACATATGAAATCCACTGATTATAATATCCTTAACACTGGTATTAAGATAAACCAGTAGCTGATTAAGCCATCCGTTTCGATAAGCGAAATACTTGATATATTTAAACTACAAATGAAATATCTGACTAATGACCTTTAAGTTTATTGTGGAATTTGTGGATGAAGTGACCACTTGTCTTCTTGACATGCTTACCCTTTAAGATAACACCTGATGTTATCACTGACACCAGGTGTTGGCGAAATGGGAATCTGTGTCGTTGGGTAATCGAGACTGGTTATTCCCTGGCGTTGACGTTCTGTATTATTATTATTATTATTATTATTATTATTATTATTATTATTATTATTATTATTATTATTATTATAAGTCACGTGGGCTTGTGTCCGCTGAAGCTACATGTATTTTCCTACACTCTTTCCAATGGTGCAATGACATGTCAGGATACCTTGATTTATGTTATTCTTCTGTAAGACATACGCGAAAGCCTGTATAACGCTGTTACTTAAATCAAAATCATTATTCTTAATATAAAACATCAACCATACATTGGGCTTAAAAGGTGACAGGGCGGTAAAAATTATATGAATGGGTCGATGAAAATTGGCGATAAAAACGAAAGTAACTCATTTAGCAAATGGGGCACTCCCACAAACGTTGTCTCAATTGGAGTCAATGAGACTATTCAGCTTACAACACTGAGTATGGACAATGTTACACCGAGAACCTCCTTCATCTGGACTAACCAACACTCCTACACTAACCCAGCAGGTACCCTGCGTCACACTGAACCCTACTCAAGTGTTGGGTTACATCCTTGCCCCAACAATGACCCACTTCTACCACGAATGTGATCCTGTCCTTTACAGCAAACACATGCTTTGTTGGTGGGGCGTCTCCTTTTTAGTAATAGATTTGCCGATCAGTTGCCCGTTTAAGTGAATAATGTCGGAACAAATACAGTTAACAACTTATGTATTACCACAGCTCTTGGTCTCATAAATCACAAATGGATTGAAACAGAAACAAATAATACATTGTCAACATACTATACATATCTGCACAATCAAAACAGTCGCGACGAATGACAAGGACAATGCTTTGCCTCCGCCACGGCTGAGCACAAACTACACCCCTCTGAGGCAGCAGATCCTATTTCACCACGCCCTGACTGGCTGGGCCATAGATGGAAGGGCTTTCTCCCGAGCTGTTGTATGGATCACCTTCCAAACCTTTAGCTGTATGGACCACCTCCCCACCCTTTTAGCTGTATGGATCACCTTCCAAACCTTTAGCTGTATGGACCACCTCCCCACCCTTTTATATGTATGGATCACCTCCCCACCCTTTTAGCTGTATGGATCACCTCCCCGCCCTTTTAGCTGTATGGACCACCCCCCCACCCTTTTAGCTGTATGGATCACCTCCCCACCCTTTTAGCTGTATGGATCACCTCCCCGCCCTTTTAGCTGTATGGACCACCTCCCCGCCCTTTTAGCTGTATGGACCACCTCCCCGCCCTTTTAGCTGTATGGATCACCTCCCCGCCCTTTTAGCTGTATGGACCACCTCCCCACCCTTTTAGCTGTATGGATCACCTCCCCGCCCTTTTAGCTGTATGGACCACCTCCCCACCCTTTTAGCTGTATGGATCACCTCCCCGCCCTTTTAGCTGTATGGACCACCTCCCCACCCTTTTAGCTGTATGGATCACCTCCCCGCCCTTTTAGCTGTATGGACCACCTCCCCGCCCTTTTAGCTGTATGGATCACCTCCCCGCCCTTTTAGCTGTATGGACCACCTCCCCACCCTTTTAGCTGTATGGATCACCTCCCCGCCCTTTTAGCTGTATGGACCACCTCCCCGCCCTTTTAGCTGTATGGACCACCTCCCCACCCTTTTAGCTGTATGGATCACCTCCCCACCCTTTTAGCTGTATGGATCACCTCCCCACCCTTTTAGCTGTATGGATCACCTCCCCACCCTTTTAGCTGTATGGATCACCTCCCCACCCTTTTAGCTGTATGGACCACCTCCCCGCCCTTTTAGCTGTATGGACCACCTCCCCGCCCTTTTAGCTGTATGGATCACCTCCCCACCCTTTTAGCTGTATGGATCAGCTTCTCACCCTCCCGGCTGTATGGATCACCTCTCTACCCTCCCAAGGTGTACCCTTTCCGTGGACACCTGGTGTCATCACTGATTTTTAGTGAACCATTGACATAGTTTTGCAAATGGTCGATATTCGAGACTGGTTATTCACTATCATTGACGTTACTAATATTATGAAAATGATCATACCTGTACGTACGTGAGACGTGCATAAAATATTGTCCCCTGTCTATATGTAATGGCCCATGAATGTTTCTCAGCTGGGAATTGGTTAATGCGTAAATGGGGTGTTCTCATTTTGCGGACAGGTATTGTTCAATTTATCTATTTCCAACTAACCACCCACGGCGGTACAGGAAAGTACATATTTTCACAGATTATATTTGTCATCAAGACCGAGATAATCCCGAAAACAATGGGGATTTAGCTTAAGACTTTAGTTACAATATTTCAGTTACACGACGGCGGTCTGTAAATAATCGAGTCTGGACCAGACAATCTAGTGTATGATATCACGAGCGCAATTGAGATGCGATAACATGCATCAACCAAGTCACCGACCCTGACCACTCGATCCCGTTTGTCGCCTCTTACGACAAGCATGAGTTGCTGAAGACTTATTCTAACCCGAATCTTCACGGGTAATAGTGAGTGTGTCTACACATGTTGTAACTCTAACATAAAGGGATATTTTATTTTTTTCACTTTAATTATACAACTTGTGCCCATTGTATACTCAACTGTGTCCACCACTAGAATTACGCATATACATATACATGCAAATGTGGGTATCATTCGAAGAGGCTTTACATTTTCTATTTACATGCCGAAACTTTGCCTGAACCTGAAAACACTTTCATACGGTAGCTGTTCATTTAGTGATGAAATCAACATGGACATTCTTAAACCAGCCCACGATTTCATTGTCAAAAGTAAAAGATGCGAACAGTACCTGTAATAATCTAAATACGTTTTGGATAAAATATAAAATTGAGATCCTGCACTCGTTTAGCTCGGACACCACCAGTTTAAGCTAACACTTACGTTAAGATTAATTTTATGTATTGTACATATATATTCAACATGAACATGTCTATATCAAGTTACCAATTGGATATATATGTTGAATTCTGTCACAAAATTGCTTATATTTTCATTTCAAAGCGTTTTATTTGCTGGAGGTATATAGCGGTATGAAAATATCTCCACATTTGCACAGGTGCTTGTAAATAGTTTCAAGTGCCACTCGCCTTCGAACTGAACTGAAATGATAACAGTATTTATTGTTTGTTTGGCGAAGGAAATGCTTCCCCTTTGAACTAATGCGTTTCACATCCATTTTGTTATCATGATAGAAGACCCGAGATTAAGTTTTAGCCTTCGAAGTTTGATTCAAGTCATTTATTTGTTTTCTAACGATCAATCTAATAAATACCTTATTTCCTAGAGTTACATATGAGACGCTAACCACAACGCATTGACCTAGACTGACAATAGACAACAGGCAGTGATCGTGTATCTCTGAAACAACAGCGAACGTATCTCCCAAAATGCAATGGTCATATCAAACCATGAATCATTTTACCAGGTACTGATAATATCCTGTTAACCACTTCTGTTACTATTTCCCTTTTTCAATATATGTGTAGATGTATTCAAATCTTACCTTGTTACATGGAAAACTTCTATCCCCTGAATAACGAAGCCTGTCCTTCGACACCCCCTTGTACTGTATCCAACGAGGTCACAGTGGGGTTGTTAAAAGCTGCGCATACCGGCGGCTTGTGTGCACAGACACACGGTCAGTTGTATAGACGTTCCTGACGGTGTGTTCATATCAGCTGAGTACAACGTTCAATAGTTTTATGAAGAATTTGAAAGACAAGTGCAGGACCCACTAATCACTGGTTCTTTGAGGGAGTGACCCTTTGTGTCAGCCTGGCTGGGCAGATTTGCATAATGGGCCACTGTCCCACAGCTGGAGTGACAGTGAGTTTAGCTGCATATGTGAAACATAAAATATCTTGTATGCGGCGGTCAGTTAGTGCATTCACTACACTGAATTTACTTTAAGAATAGTCATATTAGTTTACCGATATAGGTTGATTAATATATATTTTCTAATAGGAATTTGGTTTTAGAAGAAAGCTATGGCAATACCCCTCTGCGACAGGAAGCTTTTGTCCTCAAAAGCAAAAAATAGAATTGACATAGTTAGGTAAGGATAAATGGTGATACAGACATGATAATACAATGCAAAAAATAATAGATGACATTTGACTGAAGTTCATCAAAGACGAAGGTTAGGATAGGTCTGTGTACTTAGAAGTGACAATGGACATTGGCAAGGATACGTCATAATAGATATGGTATAGTATGGACATAATCATTTCTGGTAAAAATAGATATACAGATAATAATTATTCAAGACTACTATGACAACTGGGGGTGGTAGGAGGAATACTACGTTATGGTAAGATTTGGGTACAGCGCCTTATTTGGTTTTATAGTATCGTCATCCAAAGCTTTAATATATCCTCCATGGATTAACAGGATATAGGTGTTGACAGGTTGGTTTAGCATTTTTCGCAGTTTCTTTTCATTAAAAATATTTAAACGAATTTCAGTTGGTAGATAAAGGAAGGTGTCCGTAAGGTTGTTTTTGATTCAGAAGTTGGGGCCATTCCAGAGAAAGACTAGGAAATAAGTAATCAGTGACTCTGAAATTGTGAATATAAGTAGGGGGGTTGATGGTACAGTAAGATGGACATAGAGAAAGAGCAATAATAGGAATGGTAATACAGTCCGGGTCGGTGGTGATTTCTAAGACAAGGCAATTCTGATTGGATTTTCTTCTGTTTGAATATAAGAGTGAAGATGATAAGACAAAGTAGAATGGCTAGAACTCCTAACAGTATAGAAACGTGATACTCTGTTAGATCAGGTAGAGAAATGGTGTCGGGTTTTGATGTGGTAGGCATGAGCTGTTTGTAGTTTGGATGGATGTAAAGAATGAATAGGTCTGGCATTGGTCAGAAGAGCAAGAGCAGTCGTTAACGAACGTAATTTCAAGAATTACCGAAAAGGACGACATGATGGTACTGGCTATAACAATAAAGGCATTAGTGTCGGGGCATGAATTTGGAATGTCAATTTCACCATCTAATAAAGGTTCAGCTAGATTTTGGAAGACAGTTTCGTCTTTCTTGGCACTGGTAACCATTCTTTTGCGACTGAGATGGTCTTGGTTATCTCGTGCCAAAAAGTGAGAAAAGTTGTGAGAGTAGAGGTGAAATTGAGGAATATTGGTGATTGAGATCACATCACAAACACATCTGAATATTTTGGAAAAATACAGTTACATGTATGAATGAAAACTATAGGATAATTTGGGGGGGAAAACATTATTAAGAAATGGTGGGTTAACATGACCGCATGAAACATGGTGTTTTCATAGATAATCAATTAATGTTGCTATTTCCTATCCACATCTTGGATTGGTATTTTCTCACACAATGAATTTTAAGAAGTCTACATAAGATGTCTATTTACGTTGTATTCATCCCCCAAAAGTATTTACGTAAGCCACAAGAAATGGCATTCCCTTATTTTATGACCTCTAGAAATGATACTGATTTTCTACACTTGTCACTTTCTTTAAATCATACAACAATCTTAAGAAATTACATCTTGAAAAATACTGCCTGATGTAATACTTTTATTTGTTCAAGTTGCTGTTGTGTTTACTCCTGAACCTTTGTATGTGGGTCGGAGACCTTCAATAAATAGCCTCCCTCCCCTTCTACACGATGGCATTTATGTTCGAAGCATAGGTAGGTCCCTAGCAACCCATGCTCGTCGTAAGAGGCGACTACATGGATCGGGCGGTGAGGCTTGATGACTTGGTTGATTACATGTCACCCTATCCCAATTGCGTAAATCGATGCTCAAGATGGCAATCACTGGATTCTCTGGTCCTGGTAGCCACCATATAGCTGGAATATTGTTGAGTGTGGTGTTAAACAACCAAGAAATGAAAAGAAAACAGATAAATAAAGGCATGTATGTTAACTTCTTTGGGAAGAGTCTGTGTAAGTCTCTGCTTGTCTATATCTGCTGGCCACTGGTATACAGCCATATATATACCAACGTACAAAATAAATTTATTCTGAAATGAAATAATTAATCTCACCATACATACTCATGATGACATCTCCTAGACTTTCACAAGTTGCACTTGTATATGCATGCATATGAGGAAATGACACACACATGTTTTGTTTTTGTTTTGTTTTTATGTAAACAGCACATAATGATCGTTTCGCTATCAGTTATTCATAACAACACTCTTGTTTATCCGCAAATCACACTTACGCAATAAAACTGTTTTCTGAAAATCAACGTCTACGTGCAACGGGTATGCTGCAAACATGAATGGCCCACTCTTTCAGCTGTATCGATCACCTCCCCGATCTTTCAGCTGGATGGATCACCTCCCCACCCTTTTATCTGTATGGATCACCTCCCCACCCTTTTATCTGTATGGATCACCTCCCCAACCCTTTATCTGTATGGATCACCTCCCCACCCTTTCAGCTAGATGGATCACTTCCCCACCCTTTTATCTTTATGAAACACCTCCCCAGGCTTTTATCTGTATGGATCACCTCACCACCCTTTTATCTGTATGGATCACCTCACCACCCTTTTATCTGTATGGATCACCTCACCACCCTTTTATCTGTATGGATCACCTCACCACCCTTTTATCTGTATGGATCACCTCCCCACCCTTTTATCTGTATGGATCACCTCCCCACCCTTTTATCTGTATGGATAACTTCCCCACCCTTTTATCTAGATGGATCACCTCCCCACCCTTTTAGCTAGTTGGATCACCTCCCCACCCTTTTATCTGTATGGATCACCTCCTAACCCTTTTATCTGTATGGATCACCTCCCCACCCTTTTATCTGTATGGATCACCTCCCCACCCTTTCAGCTAGATGGATCACCTCCCCAACCTTTTATCTGTATGGATCACCTCCCCACCCTTTTATCTGTATGGATCACCTCCCCACCCTTTTATCTGTATGGATCACCTCCCCACCCTTTTATCTGTATGGATCACCTCCCCACCCTTTTATCTGTATGGATCACCTCCCCCACCTTTCAGCTAGATGGATCACCTCCCCACCCTTTCAGCTAGATGGATCACTTCCCCACCCTTTCAGCTAGATGGATCACCTCCCCACCCTTTTATCTGTATGGATCACCTCCCCACCCTTTCAGCTAGATGGATCACCTCACCACCCTTTTATCTGTATGGATCACCTCCCCACCCTTTTATCTGTATGGATCACCTCCCCCACCTTTCAGCTAGATGGATCACCTCCCCACCCTTTCAGCTAGATGGATCACTTCCCCACCCTTTTAGCTAGATGGATCACCTCCCCACCCTTTTATCTGTATGGATCACCTCACCACCCTTTTATCTGTATGGATCACCTCCCCACCCTTTCAGCTAGATGGATCACCTCACCACCCTTTTATCTGTATGGATCACCTCCCCACCCTTTCAGCTAGATGGATCACCTCACCACCCTTTTATCTGTATGGATCACCTCCCCACCCTTTTATCTGTATGGATCACCTCCCCCACCTTTCAGCTAGATGGATCACCTCCCCACCCTTTCAGCTAGATGGATCACTTCCCCACCCTTTTAGCTAGATGGATCACCTCCCCACCCTTTTATCTGTATGGATCACCTCACCACCCTTTTATCTGTATGGATCCCCTCCCCACCCTTTCAGCTAGATGGATCACCTCACCACCCTTTTATCTGTATGGATCACCTCACCACCCTTTTATCTGTATGGATCACCTCACCACCCTTTTATCTGTATGGATCACCTCCCCACCCTTTCAGCTAGATGGATCACCTCCCCAACCTTTTATCTGTATGGATCACCTCCCCACCCTTTTATCTGTATGGATCACCTCCCCACCCTTTTATCTGTATGGATCACCTCCCCACCCTTTTATCTGTATGGATCACCTCCCCCACCTTTCAGCTAGATGGATCACCTCCCCACCCTTTCAGCTAGATGGATCACCTCCCCACCCTTTTATCTGTATGGATCACCTCACCACCCTTTTATCTGTATGGATCACCTCCCCACCCTTTCAGCTAGATGGATCACCTCCCCAACCTTTTATCTGTATGGATCACCTCCCCACCCTTTTATCTGTATGGATCACCTCCCCACCCTTTTATCTGTATGGATCACCTCCCCACCCTTTTATCTGTATGGATCACCTCCCCACCCTTTTATCTGTATGGATCACCTCCCCCACCTTTCAGCTAGATGGATCACCTCCCCACCCTTTCAGCTAGATGGATCACTTCCCCACCCTTTCAGCTAGATGGATCACCTCCCCACCCTTTTATCTGTATGGATCACCTCCCCACCCTTTCAGCTAGATGGATCACCTCACCACCCTTTTATCTGTATGGATCACCTCCCCACCCTTTTATCTGTATGGATCACCTCCCCCACCTTTCAGCTAGATGGATCACCTCCCCACCCTTTCAGCTAGATGGATCACTTCCCCACCCTTTTAGCTAGATGGATCACCTCCCCACCCTTTTATCTGTATGGATCACCTCACCACCCTTTTATCTGTATGGATCACCTCCCCACCCTTTCAGCTAGATGGATCACCTCACCACCCTTTTATCTGTATGGATCACCTCCCCACCCTTTCAGCTAGATGGATCACCTCACCACCCTTTTATCTGTATGGATCACCTCCCCACCCTTTTATCTGTATGGATCACCTCCCCCACCTTTCAGCTAGATGGATCACCTCCCCACCCTTTCAGCTAGATGGATCACTTCCCCACCCTTTTAGCTAGATGGATCACCTCCCCACCCTTTTATCTGTATGGATCACCTCACCACCCTTTTATCTGTATGGATCACCTCCCCACCCTTTCAGCTAGATGGATCACCTCACCACCCTTTTATCTGTATGGATCACCTCACAACCCTTTTATCTGTATGGATCACCTCACCACCCTTTTATCTGTATGGATCACCTCCCCACCCTTTCAGCTAGATGGATCACCTCCCCAACCTTTTATCTGTATGGATCACCTCCCCACCCTTTTATCTGTATGGATCACCTCCCCACCCTTTTATCTGTATGGATCACCTCCCCACCCTTTTATCTGTATGGATCACCTCCCCACCCTTTTATCTGTATGGATCACCTCCCCACCCTTTCAGCTAGATGGATCACCTCCCCACCCTTTTATCTGTATGGATCACCTCACCACCCTTTTATCTGAGATATATAACTATATCTATGGCCCCCGCGCTTTTTATAACTAAAAAAACACGGATCAAAGAATGAAGTTTTCCCGTAAGTTTGTTTGCGGGATAGTGGTTTACAAAGTTGAAAAATCAAATGTATTGACAAAATTGAACCTGGTTCTTTTCTGAGATTGTAAAAAGTCAAGCAAACACTTTGAGTTTTTTGAGAATCCACGTGGTATTAATTCCACTCGTCTCAAATACTTCCTGTGAATATAGAGAAATGCCTGCCTTGGTTTTGGAATCTAGTACAAAAGAGGAATGTACCTGTCTTCAGGTTTTAGAGTGAGTGAGTGAGTATGGTTTTACGCCGCTTTTAGCAATATTCCAGCAATATCACGGCGGGGGACACCAGAAATGGGCTTCACACATAGTATCCATGTCGGGAATCGAACCCGGGTCTTCGGCGTGACTAGCGAACGCTTTAACCACTAGGCTACCCGACCGCCCTCAGGTTTTAGAGTCGAGTCAAAGATTGATAGTACCTATACATGGCTTTGGCAGATTTCTTCCCCAGTTAACACACTGGCCTTATTTGTGGCCTGATTTGATATGCCACTTATACCAAGAAACTTGCTTGTCGTGATGGGAAAGTCATTCACTCTCTCGCTCGTCTTTATTGTCTAAGATCCCCGTTATTCATCACGTACATATACGAAGTATTTTACGTACGATTCCTCTAATATCCTCAAATCAAGCGGTAGTACAAGGTACATATCGGTAACGCACAATTTGTGTATTTGTCTGAATACTCACTGGATATTCTTTATAATTATGGGATTTATAATTTCCGGGAATGATGCTCTCGTTGAAGTGAAGGTCACACATTAACTTGAATAATATAACTTCAAATTCCATTTACTGTTTTATGCTGCATCTTTTAGAAAGTCGATCTTTGCGCGTCGTGTTGCCATTTAATGTCGACATCCAGTGTTAAATAGTCAGTGAGTTTTGTTTTACGCCGCTTTTAGGAATATTCCAGCAATATCACGGCGGGGGACACCAGAAATGGGCTCGACATATTGTAACCATGTGGGTAATCGAACCCGGGTCTTTTTTAAAAGTCGAAATAGGGAATTCCATCGAACAGCATTTTGGTCACTGGTGCGTGCAAATGATCTCAAGATGTCAACTAAAATCGTTTTGAAAGCTTAGCTGATGCCTTGAATATTGTAACCCTGATAAAACAACTTTGAGCGAGAAGCGTAGGAATCTGAAACTTTCTTAGAAAGAGAATGTTCTATTGTACCTCTAACGTTGTGAAATGTAAATACCAAAACCTGGAACGGTTGGAATATTGTTCGACATAAGCCCTGAATGCTACGGGTCTTCTTTGCAGAATTTTACAGAAGTCGTAGCATACCACTTGTATGATGCATGGTGTATTCTAGCTACATATACAACATGACAGATTATTCTATGTTGCGTGTACTTAGCTGATTGTGCGTCATCGTACCCCGATAACGGGAATAGTTCGTCGTGCTATCAACCACTGGTCATTGAACAGGATTCACTCACTCGCTCAATACTCCTTTGTTGTTGGTATTCCCGAATGATTTCCCTCTTACCAACATGATCCTTGAACAACAACCCGAACCCTGGAACAACAGCACAAGCCTTTGTACAACAGTGCAGACCTTGAACAACAGCACAGACCTTGAACAACAGCACAAGCCGTGAACAACAGACCACGCCTTGAACATCAGCACACTTCTTGAACAACAGCCCAAACCGTTGTACGACAGCACAGACCTTGAACAACAGCACAGACCTTGAACAACAGCACAAGCCGTGGACAACAGTACACGCCTTGAACATCAGCACACGCCTTGAACATCCGCACGAGCAAGTATTAGGAAGAAGGCAGTACAATGAATTACAACATAACTAATGAAAATATTTAAAATATTTTATTGACTTAAGTGGTATTCTATATTTGGAAACAATTTATCTTATTTCCTATGGCTCGAGGATGGTACTTTCTCTCCTCATCAGCGAGATACATGGTTATCATGAATCCTATTTCTCTCTAAGCAGGTACTATAATGTCAACACCAAAAACTTTTTTACACCTTGAATAGTACACATTTCGTGTTTCAATATGTATTCCACTTCGGGGACATGGACATTCAACAATATAAATATAAAAAGACATACTAGGCTATGCTATGGAAACAAAAAGGGAGGAGTTTATATTGGAGATTGTTACTCGAAAAGAAATGTCCTGAACGTCTGATGGAAAAATAACCCATTACTAACATAGTGAGTGAGTGAGTATGGTTTTACGCCGCTTTTAGCAATATTCCAGCAATTCCGGGTCTTCGGCGTGACGAGCGAACGCTTTAACCACTAGGCTACCCGACCGCCCCTACTAACATAGATATGTGCACTGAATATTAGTGTTGTAATATAATGTAATGTGATTATTATAATACAAAATTATGTTTTAATTTACACATGTACTTAAATAAGTAAACATATTATACATGACAAACATATTATGTCGTATATATGTAATAAACAGTAAGAATATTATAGTATATATATATGAACATCTTTTACTTTGCATATATGGATTCTACATGGAAGAAAACATGTGATATAAAAACGTGTAAATTCCTCACATTCATAAATGGGAAAATTGGGGGCAATTTGTGGCCCTGTCGTCTAAGGTACCAAAATCGCCGAGCAGAGCTGCGTCCATTAGGCCGACTCTTATGGCTTTCGTCGAAGATTTCAGCAGCACCCGTGGCGTTCCTCACACATTAAGCTGATATATGATATTAACAATAGACTGATTCAAGCAAGCAAGCAAGCGCGCTCTCCCTCCCTCCCTCCCTCCCTCCCTCCCTCCTCACTCCCTCACTCACTCACTCAATCACTCACACACTCACTCACTCACACACTCACCCATTCACGTCAATAATTTCTAGTTTACACATTTGCCAACAAATGTTAATAATCTAAACCAATCAGATATCAGGCTATATTTAATTGTTGTTTCGTAAGCACATTTATTGCACTCATTCTAATAAACATACATGGATCTAATTACGACTATAATTATATTTCATGTCATGGAACGTCCAGTTAAGCTCGTTAATGCCAGACCAATTTTACAAACGAGAAACGGAAAAAATAGCACTTTATATACTCAATGACAATTCAAAAATATGTTTTCGCTATTCTAAGAGGATGTTATGTGTCAAATATACTGTACTTTTTTACAAACCAAAATTTTAAAAGCAAACGTTTATCTTTCCGATTTTCCTTCACTTATTTGCTAACAAAACGACAATGGGATGAGATTCCACCTAATTTGCAAATTTCCAAATGAAACGTGGTGTCTCTTAACGCAACTTATTATTTTAGAAACTGATGTAAATAATCTGAAAATAGGCAACATGCATGTTACAACAACTCATGTATTTAAACGTAATTAAAATCTGCAATCTATACACACGTTAGAACATACATGTACGTGTAACTTTTATTCTATAGGCTTATGTACATTTATCAAACATCTATCTATTCATATGCATATTCCTTCTGGAGATTAACTGACAACATCTTTCTATCAAAGCATTTTAGCAAATAATAATATAATCCTATCTTGCAAGAATTTAAATACAGAAGATATATATACATATGTGGATATATTTAGGATATATGTTTCTAGTAAATGTCCAGCAGGAAAAATACAACAGTGTATGAGTAGTTGTAAGATGCATACATATACATATATATATATATGTGTTAGTGTGTGTGTGTGTGTGTGTGTGTGTTAGTGTGTGTGTTAGTGTGTGTGTTAGTGTGTGTTAGTGTGTGCGTGCGTGCGTGCGTGCGTGCGTGCGTGTGTGTGTGTGTGTGCAGGAAATGTAAATGGGTAAATTGTACAATGTGCCTAGACATATTAATCGAATTGAACTAAATGTTGACGTTATCATTGCATTTGTACATGACAAGCTATAGTATGTCCAACATTTCATTGGAACAATGGAATGACTAAACAGACTATTTTGATACTTTGTAGCCTTAATATTCACATTGTGATTAGTTCAGCACGTTTGTCATGGAAACATCTGCTTTAATATTTCCTTTAGATTATTTTCATAAATGGTTACGTACATAAATGGTTACTAATTGTGAACATATTACATATAACATGTTACTATTTAAAGTCGCTAACTCACATGAATAAAAAAGAAATGTCAGTTAACTTATGGTAAAACTGTATACGAACAAGAAGCATGTTATGTTTATGCATATGGTCTCTCATCCCGTTCCATGATTCTTTCAGACCCCCAGCCTCAGAGGGTACCATTGATCATCCTCCACGAAATATAAGCACGTCTCACATCTTCACTCGACATTTGACCCACTTCGTCAACCTAGGGCACACAGAGCATCATGTGGATATACCAACAGACTTATACCAATGAAACCAAATGAACCATACGAATATATGTTGTGTCTACCAACATGTAAATCCAAATCCAAATGCCTTAACTATTTACGAAGTACATGCAGCTTGTTCTTATCTGCGATCAGGTTTTAAATGCATTATGTGACGATAACATTAATTTCTTTGACAAGACCTAATCGTGCCTTGCATAGTAATTACCTGTTCTTCTGTATCAATCCTCATCCTCATCCTCTTCTTGGGAGGAAGTGCACAAACTTCAGTACTTCCCCTCTTTCGGCATGTTAGATCTGTGTCCCTGCAACTGGAAGTAAACAGTTTCAATTAAGTCAACGTATTTAAGGTCCTTATGTGAAAAGACACATTCACACGAACGTACAATCAATTTTACAGACAATCGCAGTTTAGTTGATACCTTTTATTATATTTAGTTAGTAAAAATACTAACCGTACAAGTTGCACAGATCATGCATCATCAAAGTTGTGAAATAGGCGAAGAGAAAACGTGAATAGTGGTCTGTAAATAATTCAGTTATGGCCAGGTAAGCTATTGATTAACTATATGAGCAATAATCTTCAACACCAATGCTAACACCAAACCAACCAGGACATACACTGCAAATCTTATTTTCACGACTCTAATGTGACGAATAGGGGGCGTATTCTTCCCTGTTAAAGTGAAATATAAAGTGATATGTGGTACATCTCGTGATTGATGCCAATATTTCTAACTCCGTGAATGATGATGTTATGGCATACACATATGTAGGAGATATTTTAAGTCAGTGAATGTTGTAGCAGACTTACCTAGATGTCAATGTTTCCTTCAGGTCTTGGCTGGAACACAGTTCAAGAGGTGTTTTGCCTTCACTGTTTTCGATACCAGGATCAGCTCCCTTCGACAGCAACATCTTCGCAGTTTCTGTATATCCATATAGACATGCATAGTGAAGTGGCGTCATGTGGACACGATTCACTGGGCAAGAGTCAGCTCCACGCTCCAACAACAAATCCCCAATGGCCATGTGTCCGTGTATGCAGGCATTGTGCAGGGGGGTATTTCCATAATGATTCCTAGCATCCAGTTGTGCCCCTGATGCTGTCAGGAGAGTCACACACCCTATACGTCCTTCCCAGCAGGCGTCATGAAGAGGCGTTCTGTCGTACACATTTGTACTGTTTACGTTGGCTCCCATGCGTATAAGCAGTATTGATATTATATCATGTCCATTTTCCACAGCGTCAAACAGTGGGGTTCTCCCATGTCTGTCCGTGATGTTAACATTACCATACTCAAGAAGTGTTTTGACCATTGCTTCATGGCCTGTTCGACATGCTATATGAAGGAGAGAACGTCCATCTCGGTTTATACCAGAGGCAGCAAAGTGCAGACATTGCTTGACAATGTCAACATGACCAGTTTCACATGCAACAAATACAGGAGAGTTGCCGTTGTTATTCCACACATTAACATCAGCACCATACTTCTTCAGCAGTTCAACAGATTTAACACTACCTGTTCGACAAGCTAAGTGCAAAGCAGTGTCCCCATTCACCAGATCTCTTCCTGAAACATCTTGCCGTGTGTGTTCACGAAGGAGTTCCCGCCTATATTGGTATTTTAGTATTATTTCTAACACGTTGTAGTGTCCATTTTTAGAAGCCAAATGGAGAACAGTTTGTCCTAGGACGTTTACTGCTTCTAACTCTTGGTGTCTTAACAGCTGACATATTAAACCTACATGCCCTTTCATAGATGCAATATGTAATGGTGTATTTCCAAACAAGTTAGATATGCTCAGGTCAGCTCCCGCATCCAATAAACACTGTACCATGTCACTGTGTTCATTTAAGCACGCTTTATGTAATGGTGTATCTCCTCGTCCATCCTGAACTGACACATGCGCTCCCGATCTTATCAGAAGCTGTGTGATGGTCAGGTAACCCTTGCCAACAGCTTCATGAACAGATGTTCTTCCTTTTGCATTTCTAGCGTTACAGTTTGCGTTATTAACAACAAGAGAAGAACACAAACCTTCATGTCCATCTTTAGCAGCTAAATGTAGTGGGGTGTTTCCTTTTGCATCTGCGATGAAAGGATCTGCTCCACTTGTTAACAACAATAAAACTATGTCTTTACTGCCGATACTACTGGCGTGGTGTAATGGTGTGGAGTCGTTGGAATCAACAACGTTTGGATCAATGAAATATTTCATAAGTGTTTGCACAATCGCCGTGTCACCTTTAGTTGCAGCAAAATGGAGTGCAAGCGCTCCTTGCTCATCACGCATCTGTGACATTGAGGTAAATTGTTCTTTACAATGTTTTTGCAAAGTCAACACAACATCAACACACCCATGAGAAACAGCTGCGTGAAGAAACGTGTTTCCCATATTGTCCCGCTCAGCCATATTCACACCACACCTTATCATAAATTTCAACAGGAGAATACCTCCTTTCTGGCAAATTCGATCTGAATAGTCGTACCACAAACATTTTGAGTTATGGACACTTACAAATAGCTTGACGATCTTTTGACTTCGTCTTTCTACTGCAATATCCAAAGGTTTGTATCCATCATCATTTACTTCTGCAGACAGACAAGCAAATCTCTGCAACAAGAACATGCAGACCTCTGCTCTTTTGTACATGCATGCAACATGCAAAACAGAATTATTCTTGTCCTTAGTCTTAACGGACATATCAGCTCCACGATCTATGAACATTTGTATTAAGTCGACAAACCCCTTTCGGCATAGAATATGTAATGGAGCCTCTCCTGCATTGGAAAACACAGACGATTGATCCCCTGTTTCCAATAACATTGTAACCATTTGTTTATTTCCACGTTCACATGCTTTATGGAGAACGGTATATCCACTACCATCCTGTTCAGATGGATCAATGTCAGTCTTAAGAATCGTTTCTAACGTTCCTATGTCACTGGAATCACACAACCAATGGAAAGGTGATTCGCCGATGCTATTGGAAGATGGAATTGGAAAACGCTCTTTGTGTAAAATCAATGTATTGACAATACATGTAAACCTCTTTTCATGTGCTATTTCTATAGCAGAATGGTAATCGACGGAATCATATATGCATGCATTATCCCCGGGGGACAAATTGTCTGGATAATTGTTCTCTCTGAGAAAACTATATTGCAGAAACAGCTTTACAAGTTCCACACTGCCTTGTCTGCAAACTACATGGAGTGGTTTTAGATCCGGATTTGTGAATTTCAGCAGATGGGGTTGTTTTTGTAGGATTACATTGACAGCTTTTGTATTATCCATTAAACAAGCAAGATGCAGAATTGTATTTCCTTGCTCGTCTCTTTCTGTAAAATCTCCGTCCATGTCTAAGAAGCATCTCAATAAACTGATATTATCCACTTTAATTGCAAGAATTACTGGTGAGTCTGTATAATGTTCGGTGTTGTTTACTGAATATATTTTCCAAGATTCATACAATATCTTTATAACATTGAAGTACCGTTTTGAGTAGCATCTTTCTATGACTGGGTAGAGCTGAATGATATCATCAGAGGATATATCAGGTTGAAAGCCTTTACTCAGTATCAGTGCAACATTATCTTCATCCTTATTTCTGAAGGCTTTCTGGAAAACAGTTTTTCCCTCCTCATCTAAATCAGATAAAATGGCTCCATTGTCGACAAGTTGTTTGAAAGCATGCATATGATTTCCATCATAAGCAAGGTGAATTGGCACTAATGAGTCCATGTTTGATTTGTCCACATCTTGAGCGATTTGTTGATAATCATCGATTTTCATGTGTGAAATTCCTTCTTCCTCGTCAACCAGAAGAGAATAAATATGTTGTATGTCGCTTTCATTCGACAACAATGACACATTGAGGTTTGATGGTGACAGGTGTGCGTTGTGACTTATCATGATCTCTAGTAACTCCAAATTGCCTCTACATGCAGCGACCACAACACAGGGATAACCATTTGGTCCAGCTACCTGTTGATAATCTCCCTTTTCTAAGAGTAGTTTGACAACATCCATATGCTGCCCAAGACATGCAGCATACATTGGCGTATTTTTGTGAGAATTCTGTATGACTGCATCAGCATTGTTATCCAATAAGAAGTTCACAACAGATATATGTCCTCGAAAACAAGCACGGTGAAGAGGTGTGTGTCCCTTATGTCCAAAGGCATTTATGTCAGCCTTGGCGTGCACCAACAGTTTTACTGCATCCAGATACCCTCCTTCTGCAGCAAAATGTAATGGTGTAGATCCCTTCTGGTTAAAACTATTTACTTTTATTCCTGCTTCGAGAAGTAATGCAATTATACCCGATTTATCAAAGTTTGAAGCACAATGGAGGGCACTGTTTCCTCCATTGTCTGTTGCTGAAATCCTTTCCTTATCAGTGTGGTCAAGCAGCAATTCTACAATATCCGTATATCCCTCTTCACTAGCAATATGAAGAGGCATCTTGCCATCATTGTCAGGAACTGTATGTGTACAGTTATTTCGTAACAACTTACGAACGAGGTTAATATTCTCATTTTCCACAGCAATGTGCATAGGGGATTCCCCCTTCATATTCTGTTGGGAACTATCAATGCCTCTTGTAAGCAAATTAGTTGCATGCCACAGAAGACCTAGCATGCATGCATGGTGGAGGAGAGTGTTGCCATTTTCATCTTTACAAGACTGTGCATAACCTTTGGTATATTCACATATAATACTCATAATATCTTTATCTTTTACCACGAATCCTAATGGGCAAGTCTTGTTCTTATCCCTTTTGAATGGGTCGGCAGAGTGACACAGAAGAAGTTTTATTAAATAGATGTCCCTGTGTTGACAGGCGACATGGAGAGGTGTTGTTCCATGGACGTCTTCCACATTGACCTCAGCATCATGTTTCAAAAGAAGACTAGCAATAGTGAAGTTTCGATTTTTACAAGCATGCAATACTGGAGTTACCTGCATTGTATCAAATGAGTTTACTTCGGCGCCAGCTTTTAATAATATAATAATAACAGAAATGCACCCCTTCCTACATGCTAGCTGTAAAGGAGACACTACTCTTGAACAACAGTTAACATCTGCTCCTCTTTCAATGAGCAGTTGAACTACTTTTGAGTTATTCTTTTCAACTGCTTTGTGTAAAGGAGTTTCACCTTGACTGTCACATGAGTTGAGACATATACCTGACTGTATTAGAAAGTCCACAATAGTTTCATTGTCATTGATACAAGCTGTATGTAACAGTGTTTTCTTGCCAATATTCACACAATGTACATCCGCACCCTTATCAATCAACATTTTTAAAATGTCAAACTGTTCATGAAAACATGCTTCAAACATTATTTGGTCACTGTTAAAAGAGGTAAAAATCTCGCTGTCTAAAAAAGGTATCATTCCATGTCCAAGTTTGACTCCACGCTTCATTAATTCTTTCACCAAACCAGTCGGCATTGGATCTGACATGTTACTGACAATCAAATTTGTCATAATGGGATGTTTATGTTTGAGAGCTAGTCTTAGATGGTCAGGTGAAAACTTATAACCCTTTTCTATGAAAACCATTATGACTTGTAGTAAACCACGAGAACAGGCACATGACATCAAATAACCATCGTCCAAGTCACCACTGCTATATTTCATCAGCATCTGAAGAATAGCATTATCGGGACGTGTCCCTGCCACGTTCAACATCTGCCTCGTTATTGTAGATGTAACTTTTATGCCACATTTCGCAATTAGGATATATACCAAATATGCTTTCCTTCTGACCACACTTTCATAAAGCAATATTTGGGAGATGCCTGAGATGGAATTTTCATTGTTAGTGAATATATCGCTGTCTGAAATAATCTCAATGATTTCTTCAACTACAGGCTCTAAATCTTTATGACACGAGAGCAATTTACACACATCAATACCTTTGTCGAACAATTTTCTGCAGACAGCGATACACTGTGAACGTCCATGACATTTATATATTACAGAATCATCTTGTCTAACTGTATCTGCTGGTTTCGAGTCCCCTAACTGCTTGTGCTCATTATATTCTTCATTGTTAGCTAGTGATAAGAGAGCATTATCCCCAGTAGCTTCATCTTCACCACTGTTTAAAATTCCTAAATTAGTCGTGTGATGTCGTAATAAAACTGAAGAAATTATTTTGTCAATGTTATCTCTTAACAGTTTCACATTCTCAAAATGCCCTTTTCTGAATACCACTTCAGGAGTTGAGTAATCCTCTGAGGCAATAGCTGATACAGTAGCGCCTTTCTCCAATAAACGTTTCACAACATCCAAGTCCCCTACCCTGCATGATGCAGAGTTGCACATAAAATCAGCAGCTGGAGGACAAGCTCCTTTATCTAACAAAAGCTTCACAATTTCTACGTTTTTTCTTCTGCATGCCTCACTTAGAGGCGTGTGACCACCAAAACCGTGCTCCATATCTGCGCCTTTATCTAACAACAAATTAACCATATCTACATGTTCTTTCTGTATTGCTATACATAAACACGAGTAACCTTCATCATCACACGCTGATGGATAAGCTCCGCTATCTAACAATAGGTTTACAATTTCTACGTTTTTTCTTCTGCATGCCACACTTAGAGGTGAGTAACCATCATCGATGGTTTGCACGTCTGCGCCTTTATCTAACAACAGTTTAACCATCTCTACATGTTCATTCTCTGTTGCTGTCCAAAACCACGTGTCACCATTCTCACCACAACATGATGGATCAGCTCCTTTAACTGACAAAAGCTTCACAATTTCTACGTTTTTTCTTTGGCATGCCTCACTTAGAGGTGAGTAACCATCATCAGTGGATTGCACGTCTGCACCTTCATCTAACAACAGTTTAACCATCTCTACATGTTCATTCTCTGTTGCTATCAATAAACATGTGTCACCTTCATCATCACAATATGATGGATCAGCTCCTTTATCGAACAAAAGCTTCACAATTTCTACGTTTTTTCTTTGGCATGCCTCACTTAGATAGAAGTAACTACCAACAATGGTTTGCACGTCTGCGCCTTTATCTAACAACAGTTTAACCATCTCTTCATGTTCATTCTCTGTTGCTATCCATAAACATGTGTCACCTTCATCATCACAATATGATGGATCAGCTCCTTTATCTAACAAAAGCTTCACAATTTCTACGTTTTTTCTTCTGCATGCCACACTTAGAGGTGAGTAACAATCAGCAGTGGTTTGCAAGTCTGCGCCTTTATCCAACAACAGTTTAACCATCTCTACATGTTCATTCTGTATTGCTGTCCATAAACACGTGTCACCTTCATCATCACAATATGATGGATCAGCTCCTTTATCTAACAAAAGCTTCTCAATTTCTACGTTTTTTCTTTTGCATGCCTCACTTAGAGGTGAGTAACCATCAACAGTGGTTTGCACGTCTGCGCCTTTATCCAACAACAGTTTAACCATCTCTACATGTTCATTCTCTATTGCTGTCCTTAAACACGTGTCACCTTCATCATCCAAATATGATGGATCAGCTCCTTTATCTAACAAAAGCTTCACAATTTCTACGTTTTTTCTTTGGCATGCCTCACTTAGAGGTGAGTAACCATCATCGATGGTTTGCACGTCTGCGCCTTTATCTAACAACAGTTTAACCATCTCTACATGTTCATTCTCTGTTGCTATCCATAAACACGTGTCACCATTATCACCACAATATGATGGATCAGCTCCTTTATCTAACAAAAGCTGCACAATTTCTACGTTTTTTCTTTTGCATGCCTCACTTAGAGGTGAGTAACCATCAACAGTGGTTTGCACGTCTGCGCCTTTATCCAACAACAGTTTAACCATCTCTACATGTTCATTCTCTATTGCTATCAATAAACATGTGTCACCTTCATCATCACAATATGATGGATCAGCTCCTTTATCTAACAAAAGCTTCACAATTTCTACGTTTTTTCTTTGGCATGCCTCACTTAGGTATAAGTAACCATCATCGATGGTTTGCACGTCTGCGCCTTTATCTAACAACAGTTTAACCATCTCTACATGTTCATTCTCTGTTGCTATCCATAAACACGTGTCACCATTATCACCACAATATGATGGATCAGCTCCTTTATCTAACAAAAGCTTCACAATTTCTACGTTTTTTCTTTGGCATGCCTCACTTAGAGGTAAGTAACCACTAACAATGGTTTGCAAGTCTGCGCCTTTATCTAACAACAGTTTAACCATCTCTACATGTTCATTCTCTGTTGCTATCAATAAACATGTGTCACCTTCATCATCACAATATGATGGATCAGCTCCTTTATCTAACAAAAGCTTCACAATTTCTACGTTTTTTCTTCTGCATGCCACAATTTGAAGTGGGTCATCTTCAGCAGTGGTTTGCAAGTCTGCGCCTTTATCTAACAACAGTTTAACCATCTCTACATGTTCATTCTCTATTGCTGTCCATAAACACGTGTCACCTTCATAATCACAAAATGATGGATCAGCTCCTTTATCTAACAAAAGCTTCACAATTTCTACGTTTTTTCTTCTGCATGCCTCAATTAGAAGTGAGTAACCATCAACAGTGGTTTGCACGTCTGCGCCTTTATCTAACAACAGTTTAACCATCTCTACATGTTCATTCTCTATTGCTGTCCTTAAACGCGTGTCACCTTCATCATCAAAATATGATGGATCAGCTCCTTTATCTAACAAAAGCTTCACAATTTCTACGTTTTTTCTTTGGCATGCCTCACTTAGATATAAGTAACCATCATCGATGGTTTGCACGTCTGCGCCTTTATCTAACAACAGTTTAACCATCTCTACATGTCCAGTCTGTATTGCTATACATAAACATGTGTCACTTTCATCATCACAATATGATGGATCAGCTCCTTTATCTAACAAAAGCTTCACAATTTCTACGTTTTTTCTTCTGCATGCCAGGCTTAGAGGTGAGTAACCATCATCGATGGTTTGCACGTCTGCGCCTTTATCTAACAACAGTTTAACCATCTCTACATGTTCATTCTCTGTTGCTATCCATAAACATGTGTTACCATTATAATCACAATATGATGGATCAGCTCCTTTATCTAACAAAAGCTTCACAATTTCTACGTTTTTTCTTAAGCATGCCTTCCTTAGATATAAGTAACCATCATCAGTGGTTTGCACGTCTGCGCCTTCATCTAACAACAGTTTAACCATCTCTACATGTTCATTCTCTATTGCTGTCCTTAAACACGTGTCACCTTCATCATCACAAGCTAATAGATCAGCTCCTTTATCTATCAAAAGCTTCATAATTTCTATGTTTTTTGTTCTGCAAGCAACATCAAGCAAATAACTATGATCAGTAGTTATAAGGCTTGCAGCAGAATTTGTTTCCGTCAAAACTTTTACAAAATCTACTTTGTTGTCCTTACTAGCTCTCAATAAGGCATAGTCACAGTTTGCAAAATTATCAGCTATATGTTCCAGTAATATTTCAACAACATCAATATGGCCACTTTCCCAGGCTTTATGCAGAGGGGTACTTAATATGTCAAAGGGAATTGGATAAGGCCGTTTCTTGAGCACATCTTGTAACAAGAGGTGATGACCCTCCTCAGAAAGTATATCAATGGCGGTGTAGTCTCTGAAGTTTAACAACGAAATGTCAGCATCGTGGTCCAACAGGGTGTTTACAATGTCATCATATCCAGCTGCACACGCGAGATGTATAGGCGTATCCCCGTCCTTATTCCTTTCGGAGACATTGCATTGACATACAAGAAGGTTCACTATGTAAGTAAAACCTTTCCGACATGCTACATGGAGTGAAGTGTCCATAGTTTCATCCCCCAGGCTAAGATCACAGTTTGCTGCTATCAGACATTTCAGGACAGGTGCATGTCCTTCTGCAGTTGCGACTATAACTGGAGTTGGTCCATTTGGAAGAAGTGGGAAGAGGGAAGGCAAGTGAGAGTTTAGGTCGAAGTCACTAGCTATTAACAAGGAAACTATGTTGACATGTCCATGATAGCAAGCGAGATGCAGAGGTGGCATCTTAAATGAAGTTACTTTTTTGATGGACATCTGTTTCTTGCGATAAATGTTTAACCACGGTTGTTCATTTCTTGAGATCCAATTCAGGGCCTTTTCTTTCTTTACTTCCACAAGAACTATGGATAGTACATCCGCATTGCCAGATATGCAACATGACGTTATGCAGTCATACTTGGACTCTGAGGGTATGTGAGAATGGATTAGTTTGTAGAGTTCCGCATTGCTGCTGCAGCATACCCAATGAAGGAAAGATCCGCCGTAAATGGCATCTTCTTTAAGCACTATTTGGGTCATTTGTACATGATTCTGCTGAAATAGTTCGAGAAGGGACACAACAAACTGAAACTGCTCACATGCCTCATGTGTAAGCACCAGGGCAAAGTTAGACTGGTTCAGTTCATGGATGAGTCTTCGAAGTAGAAGCTCCTGAGATCCACGCGTCAACCCAATTATGAATTGTGACCTTTCAGCATCACATTTAGGCGAAATACGGACATGTTTATGCACAAACATGATATCAATTGATTGCAGATAATTGTCAACGTGATTTGTAGCAAGTTCATTGACTATGTGTTTAATAGTTTGTTTTTCGAAAGTTGCTGTCTCATCATTGGAAGTTATTGTAAAAAATGCACACAGTAAATTGAGATTGTGTTTCAGTTCTCCAAGGCTGACCATCTCAATGCCTGCAATGTGACACGCCCATCTGATGGGACTTTGCAAGAGTGGACATGGCTGGTCATCGGATGTATCATTCAAGAAAGAGAAGCTAAGGTCTCCATCGCGTAAGCACGCTACTAATAATGCCACAAACTGATGCTGTTTGTTGTTGAACAGATGGCGAATCTTAGTGCTTACATTTCTTAGATCCAGAGCTGAAAATCGAACATCATCATTTTATAAGCCATGCCAATAGGGCATTTGAGTATGCATTTTAGTTAAGAAAACAACTAGATACAGCAATATTTGACAGACCTATCAAGTTATTTGAACTCATTATATATACTGTATACTTAAATTGCATTGCGTATACCAACCTAGCAGTTGAACTATCCCAGTTGTATACTAGTTGCTTTTGATATATATAAGAAATATATTAATCGACATTTGATACAAATGAAATCACATTACCAGAGAAAAGTAAAAGTTGCAATGGGAGTTACAAATTATTCATAGGATACAAAAAGATGTATTTGCGTCTTTCAGGTTGTTGTTTTTTAAATACAAACTCGTACTCCTAAAAACAGTGGAAGTAAATTGTTTCATATTGGACATATTCAACAGTAGACTTTGAAATAACTTAAACGACTTAAACCCATTTCACATCACTATTTGATGGGTCATTTTCGTTTGACAATAGTTATGATCATGGCTCAATAGTGACAGATATGATGCAATTGTGTTATGCAACTTTGTGTGTCCGTTTATGCTTACATCCCTGAATTGTGTGCCAAATCATTAATTAAATACCCATAGATGACCTAATATAAACAAAGGAGCCAATGATTTAAAATAGTAAGGGAGAGATATCTTTATACACCACAACCCCCCATCCAAGGCAAGGACTCAATGAGCATAACGATACACAATGTAGTCCTATTTGAATACGGAAAATAAGCTAACTGTTTTTGTATATACATTTGACATATATGTATACAGTCGATATTGAATTTATTGAACATTATATACATATGAGGCCCAAAACAGAAACGTGCCATAACATGCTATCTTTTGCCTTGGTGACCTAATTATGGATGGATCAGGTCACGAACATGTTATTTTGACACCGGTGCAGACATTATGTGCACGATATCAACGCATGGGATTGAAAAGGATTTGACTGGCAAACATTGGCCATCATATGAACCTAAAGCTTAGGCTAGTTGATATAATGAATGAAAGCAACTTGTACCTGCTTCTTGCGATTCCTCCTCCATTGAATGATCCACAGGCCGTGGCATAGAAAGAGATCCTTTCATAATATCCTCTTCTTCCCCACCTTCAATATGACCATTGGTCCTCAGAAAACCGGTTCCCCCATCATCTTTATCATTTGTTGAACTGTAAAGTTCAACATCGTCTGTAACATCCATGTCAGTCTCCTGGTATGCGTCGTATGCTGGTTGATCTGGCACATCTTCAAGTTTGTCACGTCTCTTGAAACCAGCAGCTGCAAGTAGTCTTTGTTTGACGTATTCCCTGTAGTCCTTCACGTGACAGTTCCTCATTATGGCTGGAGGAACACCCGACAGAAGTGCTTCAGCAACCTGTTTGAAACAAATGTTTTATGCTGGGAAATAGAAGTAACACAACTTTTTTCATAATCATAATATATAAAACGTCAAAGCCAGCGAATAATCAGTCTCGATTATTCTACGAAACAGATTCCTTAAGCATAAAAGTCAACATAGCGGTGAAACCTACATGAATGGATCACTGAAAGGCAGTGATGACACCTGTTTCCCGCGAAAAGGGTAAGCATGTCTTTCTGGACCGGTAGCACACCGGTCACTCACACAATTTGCATAAACAGTACGTTTTTGTTAGTTCCCAAACGCAATAGCAGTCTGTTGAACAAATCCGACTACATCATAAGCATGTGTTTATGAATCACAATCAAATAGTGATGATGCCATGTGTTCTCGAAAATGTGAGCGCATGTAGTCCCACCGACAGCACCCATCACTTTTTGAAAGCTTAAGTGATGCCTCGAACGTTGTAACCCTGATAAAACAACCTTTTGATGTTGGAACATTGCTCGACATAAAGGGAAAGGTGACTGTAGGAATGCTGAGGTGATTCCTCTTGTCATACAGTTTTGTTTCCCTTTAGGTTATCTTAAGTTTGAAGATACGAAGAGACAAATTTCATGTTTACAAGATTTTGCTGCAAAAGGCGTAGCTGTATATATGCTCAACAACAAAAGTTCCTGTGACACCAATGTTTTAGTGTATTTTCCAACAAGTAAAGTGGTTTTCAATATTGTAGTACATGTATGGAATCAAGTCACAAAAACGCAACAGCTACACAAAAGCATGCATTTCATGCAAAAGTTGACTTATATGCAAGCCCCATGCATTTCACTACCCAAGAATGGGTATAAACACATGTGCATAAACGGGATTCCATATGCATTGTTTAGTATCGTGTTGACAACAACCACTCAGAAAAACAACAAAATTACGCAATTATTCAACATTACGAAATGCCACGCCTGTCTGAAAATGAGCGTCTGCGAGCCATTGGTATGCTTGAAGCAGGATCGAGTCAACATGATGTTGCAAGACAATTTAACGTCCACAAAATCCACCATTTGGTGTTTATGGCAACGTTGGCAACAGACGAATGCAGTCAGAGACCATCCTCGGAGTGGCAGGCCACGCGTAACCAATAATCGACAAGACAACTGGATTCAAACAACACACCTACGAAATCGATTCCAGCCTGCAACAGTGACTGCAAGAAGCATCCCTGGCCTTCGACGAATATCTTAACAAACCGTACGTCGCCGCATCAGATGTGCAGGGATTATTACCAGAAGACCCACCAGACGTCCCATTTTGACAGGAAACCACCTGTGCAGACAGCGTCTACACTGGAGGGCCATGCCGTGGGGACAAGTTCTATTCACTGACGTGTCTCAGCCACAGCGATGGACGGATGATTCGAGTGTACCGACGTCGAGGTGAACGTTACGTCAATCATTGTGTCATGGAAGAAGATCGGTTCGGGGACGACAGCGTTATGGTATGAGGTGGGATAACAACAAGACAGAGGACCCGTTTGATAGTGGTAGAGGGAAATCTCAATGGACAGCGCTACCACGACGAGATTATCGGCCCTGTTGTTCTACCGTTTTTGCGTCGTCATGGCCCAGGCATTACCTTTCAACATGAAAACGCCCGGCCTCATATAGCTCGACTTGTTCAGGATTCTCTTCAACAAAACAACGTGAATGTCATCCCCTGGCCGGCTCGCTCCCCTCCACTAATCGATCACATGTGGGACGAGATGGATCGGCGCCTTCGACGTCAACCACGTGTTCCACAGACACTCAAGGAACTTCGAAACATGCTCCAGCAGATATGGACCGATATCCCACAGGACGCCTGGTCCATTCCATGAGACGAAGATGTGTTGCTTGCATCGCAACCAGAGATGGACACACAGGCTATTGATTTGTAAATTGACATTTTGGTATGTTCATGGTTTTTTTATGAAATCATCCATTTTCTGAAGTCAGTATGGCAAATTAAACCATTTGAACACTTACAGGAGTCTTTTATCTGTTGCAAACCGAAATTGTTTCAGATTTGGTAAAAAACATAACTTTGCATTAAATCTTATTCAGTGTCACAGTAACTTTTGTTGTTCAGTATATTTAGGACGATTGGTCGATCAAATACAAGTCAGCAAGAGAATGTTTCATTGTTGTTATTTCTAAATATATTCATTATAGTTTTTCTTATGTAATCCCTGGTAATTAGAATATCTCTTTAGCTATATAACATCAGTTTGAATACACAAAGTTGTTACCAATGGTTACCATGAGCCGGTCTTGAAAAGACTACCAGCTCGAATTTGAAAATTGCCTGACGTAAAAAGAATCTATTACAATTTCTGGTGTGTATGTGTTTCTGTTAGGCAACAGAAATCGTATGTGTGCCACATCATGCAAACTCATAAACCAAAAGTTCTTCTCACCATAAGGACGATTACACCACAACTGTTTCCATCAGTCTGTGGGAAAATAGGACATGATCTATCCTCCCAGTCTGGAATGTTCTCGCCAGTTCTTTTGCTTCTTATAGCCATATAGTTTCTGCAGCAAAACATAACACTATCATTCTATTAAATGGATATACATCGAGACGCTTTAAATACAAAAACGGGAAATTTGGTCGTTATTTAATGTAAAACATTATAACATCAATAAAACAGAGCAAATATTAACTGTCATGTAAGCATTTTTTTATTTTGTTTGATTTGTACTCAAGCACTTCAACGAGTTCTATGATTTAAAAGAATGGTCAGCTTATTATTTTTATTGTCTGTGTATGACCACTCATATAACTTTATTAATACTTCTATTCAAGCACACAAAAGACAGTTGTTCTTACCTCCACTGCTTCAGTAAGTGCTGTGACTGTGAACCACGTGAAGGTAAAGAGTCGATGACAGAAAGTTGTCTGGCCTTCACATGAGCTGCTATCAAAACCCAATGGTGGTTTCTGCAGACAGGCATCAGGATCCAATCATAGTCCAAGAGAGATTCCTGTATAACACAAAATGGTTTTGATTTTCTGTATTATGCCTATAGGTATGCTTTGATCATTGTTGATCCTAATTATCTAGCTGGCTTCCATTTGTCCATTGTCAATTCCATTCTTTTACCTATCGGTGGTAATTACCCCCAGCCTCTCGTTTGCCCATTGTCCATTGCCTATTACCAATTAGTGATGAGTTAAGTTTTGCCTTTCATTTGCCCATTGCAAATCACCTATCAAACCTCATTATCTGTTGGCTTCCCTTGTTTTAATTTGTTGTTTTACGCCGCACTCTGATGCGGCCATTACCGTGAGAAAGGTTGAACCTGGATTAGTTTGTGAAGACAACTTTTTTGTTTTGTTTGTTTTTATGTTTAAAGCCACACTCAACACTATTTCAGCTATATGACGGCGGTCTGTAAATAATCGAGTCTGGACCAGACAATCGAGTGATTGTCATCCTGAGCATCGATTCACCCAATTTGGATACGATGACATGCATGAACTAAGTCAGCGAGACTGACCACCCGATCCTGTTAATCGCCTCTTACGACAAGCATAGTCGCTTTTAACGGCAAGCCTGGGTTCCCGAAGACCTATTTTTTTCCCCGGATTTTCACGGGTCACCCGGGACATAAACTTTATATTGAATTGAAACGTGTAATACGTTATACCTAACGATTTATCAACATGCTTCATCTATCTCTGGTATAGGGAGTTGAAAAGTTATGTACATTATAGATCTATTATTCATCTTGGGGCATTTTAGCAAAGTAATGACTTTCGACTTTAATTGTCTAAGTAGATCGAAATGTGGTAAACCTGATAGTATCCATTCTGTTTAAAATAAAGGAAGGATCCCTAATTAGTTTAAGTTTCTTTGGTTGACGATTTTGCCGTAGATGTCCGGGCCGATTTATAATCTACTACTGGTTGCATATATCTGGAACTATTATGTCGTGGTGACAATGTGTCCAAGTGAACATTGATGGACCTACCTTGAGATATAACCATCCATCATCGATATCGTTCCACTTGCCCAACCATTTCTCAGCAAGAAAACAGTCAAACATGAACACTTTTCCATTACGTTGTCCTTTGTACTCAGTCATTATCAAACTCATGTAGGCATGGATGACCTAAAGTAAAAAAACAGAATATGTATTAGGGATATGTCATTACGTCCTTGCATATGGGACGACGTGAAGATACAATTCAGCTGCATGAACAACTATTACTACTGGTTCGTTTTTAATGCAGCAATTCAATACATTGTAGAGTGGAACAACATAATTTTGAAAAAAAGTAATGTGCACGGGACTAGAACTTTTCAGTCTCGAATATCTACCAAAACAGATTTCATTGGGCGTCAAAGGTAAAATATTTGTGAAATTATATGAATGGATAACTGAAAATCGCAGGTGTTCGCAAAAAGGGTAAGCATCCGGTAGCACCCGCCACTCACACAATTTGCCAAAAAAAAGGATATCTTTGCTTACACTGTCATCCAGCCAAGCTGAGTTTTCAAGTCTTGTTAATTCCCTCCCTGTCACAGAGTAAGTTCCAATGATGTATGTGTACTCGGAATCAACGTAGCAGACAGGTTCTGTGATATCCAGACAATGTCTTGGTCGTTCATATAAGGTGTCCACAAATTGAGTGATCCTCGAGTGTGTCTTGTAAGAGCCAAGCACAACGGCTGATAACAGTTGAAGAAAACAACCTGTTACCTGTTCCCGTGGAGGAATATCAGTCATATACTGAGATAGTATGTCTCTGGTTCTATCAAACTCAGCCTTCCAGAGAGTTGCTGACTGTGTGATGAGACTGGTAGCAGGTTTTGTTAAGAGGACATCAAACAAAGGGTCACACCGTCTGTCGGCGTTTAAAGATCCATCACTGAACATGCTCAGTTCAGACCCATTGTGAAGTTCCTTACTCTTCAAGGATAAACATTCCATGAAACGCATTTTTCTGTAAGACTGTGGTTTTAAAAACGCAGACAGTACTTCTATTACATTGACCAAATCCCCAGAGGCATAAATTTGAGATACAAACTCATCTATGGACACAGCTAAATAAGATAATTGTCCATTTCCCTGCTGTTTTAAATTTGGTTGTCCAAAAGTTTTTTTCATCTGTATCACTGTCGCAGGTATACAAGGAGATGACTCACGCGGTGGACCCTCAAGGCACATAGTGTTCATATCCTGGCAACACATGGAAATCGTGGACGATATGCGCGGATCTCGAGCCTTAACACCCCTGTTCCCTGCAGTGTAAATGCATGGAACCGAAGTTCCTGTTTTATCATCACAGGTGATTTCACATGATATACTATCGTCTCTCTGTGTGGAAGTCATTGACATACATTCACTATGATTGCCAGTTACTCCAGCTGTATCATAGTGCTGTGATAAACTCACATGGGTTTCTGTGTGGCGTTGTGATAAGTGGTCTGAAACACTTGCAGGAGTTGAAACGTCCCCATTGTCAGTATCCCGAGGCAATAGATAAGAACTTATCCCTGTGTTGGAACAATGGGCAGAATTACCACCAGCTGATGGTCCTGTTAGACCCTGAAATGAGTTTGTATCCATTGTGGGTTGTTCTGTTGCACCCGCAAAAGAATTTGCATCCACTACGGATTGTCCTGGTACATTTCCAAATAAGTAAGTGTCCATTGTGAGTTGTCCTGATACACCAGTAAATAAGTCTGTATCCACTGCGGAGTGTTCTGTTACACCTTCAAATGAGTCCGTAGCCGCTGCGGATTGTCCTGGTACACCAGTACATAAGTCTGTATCCACTGCGGATTGTTCTATTACACCTTCAAATGAGTCTGTATCCGCTGCAGATTGTCCTAGTACACCAGTAAATAAGTCTGTATCCACTGTGGAGTGTTCTGTTACACCTTCAAATGAGTCTGTATCCGCTGCGGATTGTCCTGGTACACCAGTAAATAAGTCTGTATCCACTGCGGATTGTTCTATTACACCTTCAAATGAGTCTGTATCCGCTGCGGATTGTCCTGGTACACCAGTAAATAAGTCTGTATCCACTGCGGATTGTTCTATTACACCTTCAAATGAGTCTGTATCCGCTGCGGATTGTCCTAGTACACCAGTAAATAAGTCTGTATCCACTGTGGAGTGTTCTGTTACACCTTCAAATGAGTCTGTATCCGCTGCAGATTGTCCTGGTACACCAGTAAATAAATCTGTATCCACTGCGGATTGTTCTATTATACCTTCAAATGCGTCTGTATCCGCTGCGGACTGTTCTGGTACACCAGTAAATAAGTCTGTATCCACTGCGGATTGTTCTATTACACCTTCAAATGAGTCTGTATCCGCTGCGGATTGTCCTGGTACACCAGTAAATAAGTCTGTATCCACTGCGGAGTGTTCTATTACACCTTCAAATGAGTTTGCATCCATTGCAGATTGTCCTGGTACACCTGTAAATAAGTCTGTATCCACTGCGGATTGTTCTGTTACACCTTCAAATGAATTTGTATGCACTACGGTTTCTTCACATGCCTGCCCGTCTTTGATACAGACATTTACACAAGATCTGTCGAGTTCTGAACGCAATGGATGTTCAACGGAACACATCTCTATATGTGTATTTTCACAGGATGTATGTTCAAGAACTAGAACATCTCTGCATTCTCCAGAGAGATGGTTGGTGGCTGTGTTTTCACCTGATTTGACCGTGTGCTTCTTTTTCTGCTTTTGGCGTTGCTTATATTTTACACTGGATTTCGTATTCCATATATGCACTTTAGATCTCGGTTGATGTATCTCTGGCGTTGCTAATGCAATGGCCCGATTCTTGAATTGTTCCATAGCATGAGTGGCATTGCTTGAAACATCTTTGATGGCTCTGATGACAGATGGACACAGTCGGGTGTAGGGGACAGAAGTATTCTTGGAGTTACCATGAGGAAGATCTTCAGCAATCCTCTCATCCCCAATATACTGGAATAACACAAGATTGTTGTCCTCTCCTAGAAGAATGTAGGCATGCTTCTTAAATCTCTTGTCCTTGCCTTCTCTGGTCTTTATAACAAAGAACAACTTCTTGAACTTCGGATCTGCTTTGGGTTGTTCTCGTGTGGCATCGTGGTGGAAGTGGTACTGGTCACATCTCCAGTCATCTGAATGAAACAGTGAGTGAGTGAGTAAATGAGTTTGATTACAACGCTTTGAATGGTATCCCAGTTAGATCATGACTAGTCCGCATGTTATGAGGGGGAGGGGAGAGTCCAAAGTGACGTTTATGATTTTGGTGAAACCCACGAGCATGGGAATAGGGGTGATTAGCCAGCCTAGAAACAAAAGAATCGGAATTCGAAGTTTCTGGCACTCCTAAAGGATGCAGCTCCGCACAGTGAAACACGTCACCTTGGACGCCAGGGACACCACTACCAAAAACATGGAACATAACAAGACAATTGATACTTATTGTGATAGGGAGCCCAGGGCTGAGAGTACACGCTACTACTACGTGGGTACATCATTGAATGGCTATATGAATTGGTGTGTCAATAAAAATATTATCATTAATCATGTCATGTTATGTGTTTTCATCCATAGTACTATCCATCTGCAGCCAGTTATCGTCACACCGTCAACGCTACTACTATTCAATAGGTTATAACAGAAAGTTGATAACCAGGTATTACCAAGCAAGAGCCTCTTTAATGGATATACATGTATTAAGATAAATGTACAGAAAGTATGTACAACTGCTTTCTATATCATTATTAAACACTGGGTAAAATACTATAAAACAATTGTCTTAAATACTTCTAAAGCTTAAGGTTCGGCAAAGAACCCAAAGACATACCTCGTTTGTTAATGTCAGTGAAGTGGTAGAGAAAAACCTGTCCTGCCGTGGGTTTTAACGGAGGCTGCGTGATGGTTCTGCTCATGTCTGGATTGCGGAGGATGTCAAGCACCTCCTGGGTCGTGAAAGATGAATCCTTGTAGGTGTAACATGTTCTGAAGAATACATTTTGGGTCCATCATATATTTGGTTAAGGACATAAACGATGTACATAGTTTTGATGCGTAAGTGCATAATATGTTAATGTTTGACATTTCTACCGGATGATTGTGAGTCTAAACATAGAACATAGCATAGATATGGATTCGACTATTACCGCTGGGTTTTTATTACAAAGGATTCATGAATTATAGTAGAGTCAAACATATTATTTTCTTAAAACAATGTCACTTACTGTGAAGGACCTTGCTGAGGACGACGTAAAGTTGGCCCAGGATTTAGTTCAACATTTCCACTAAGAATCAGTAAAAGACTAATTATGACGAGTATTTTCAAACTTCGCAGCAGCGCTATGCCACGTATATGTAACGTAGGTTCGTGTGTGACTTCAGTTCTTGTTTCTCTGTTGGGTTGGCAATATCCACCAATCCGGGCTCTCCAGATCTCAATGGACACACCCATTTTGTTTGAAAGAGGAAACGCGAGAGAGGCAATCGCTGGAACTACTGCACACTCTCAAAGCTGCAGGAAATAAATATATCATTTGTTTAGAGTTGAGACATACCTATACGTATTTTCAAAAGGGACTGATGCTAAATTATCTTTTTCATCTAAAGGAAATATGTAAATACATTTAAAACGAAAATTAAAATTCTCACCTGACCCTCAAAGTATGCAAAATAAAGTTGATGAGCGTAAATCATCTCCACAAATATAGCAAATAAGAAACACTACTGCACTCAATATATATATAAAAGCAACAAACCCTTTCCATATCCAATAGAAATCTCTGCATAAAGCAGAGTCGATTGTCCGATTCCGACTATATCATGAGCATGTGTTTATGAATCACTATCAAATAGTAATGATACCAGGTGTTCGCGAATAGGTGAGCTTATCCTGCACCACCGGTGGCACCCGTCACAAACACATGCAAAGGCAAGTTAATTGTTCACCTAAAAAGAACGCGGGAACATGTGGTACAAATCAAAATAGGGATTTGCATGGGACATCATTTTTGTCACTGATGCGTGAAATTGGGAAATGTTCTCAACATGTCTACCATAAACCATTTTGAAAGCCTTACTGAGGCCTGGAATATTGTAAACTTGATCAAGCAACTCTTGCGTAAGAGTCACGTGACGCTCTTTGAAATCTTGGTGGAAAAGCATGCTCGATTGTATTTCAAAAGTTGTAAAAATGTAAACACCAAAGGCTGAAGCTGCTGGAATATTACTCGACATGAAGGGAAAGTTGACTATTGGAAAGTTGAAGTCGTCCCTCTTGTTATACAGTCTTTTGAGGATTGTTTTGTTACTCTGAATCTGTATCTCTTTTATTTCTAGTGAATTGGCTAATTGATTGTTATTGATCGATATCAGATCATCGATATACCTGATGCTTAAGTTAAACCTCTTGACCAAATTACCATGTTTTGACTTTACCAATCTGAACAGAAAATTCCGATTCATATGCATTAAGAAACAGATCTGCAAGAAGGGGAGCGCAATTTGTGCCCATGGGGATGTCTACTTCCTGCCTAAATGTCTTACCCTAAAGGAGGTTCAAAATAGAAGGTATGAGAGAAGGTGAACATTTTCTATCATTATCCAGGCATTAAATAAACACCATGAGAGGTATAACTAAATATACATTGTAACACTAATTTGTAATACTGATGACAAAATCCAGACGTTATCACTTCCGTGTTTAAGATTCTGTTGTTTAACGCCGCACTCAGCAATATTCAAGCTATTTGACGACCGTCTGTAAATAAGTCTGGACAAGACATGCATCAACCAAGTTGGTGTTCAAAAACCCATGCTTGTCATAAAAGGCTACTAACGGGCTAGCTGACTAGGTTTACGCATATCATCGTATCCCAATTGCGTATATCGATAGTCACGATGACAGTGACTGGATTGTCTGGTCCAGACTCGATTATTTACAGAAAGCCGTCATATATCTGTAATATTTCTATTTGTGGCGTTGAAGAAACAAACTGGCTCACATAATCTCGAAAGAGCTCCCTCGTTCTTTGGCGGGTCGCCTCATTTACATCAAGTATCAAATTTACCAAACAAATCCTTTAACGGATCGTTGGTCACTGACGCTACGATAAGTAACCATTTTGCAACTGACATACAATGATTGTAGCTCATGACCTGTCCTTGATAATACACAGAAAGGTCGCTATAGATTGGACTGTTGAGAGTATAGATGAAGTTCAATGTACGTTACCCTGCACATGAACGAGTGAAAATATGTCCGGAAGCATTTGATAAAGGCAGATAATATGAAGGTTAAAAATTCTGTAGACGTTGACTGCCTGTAAATATATGACACATGTATGTCAGTTACAATAAAAAACGATGATGTGAGCGACAGCTCAATGGACAAAGAGCTATCCTAAACTTGAATTTACATAACGCTGGTCGGTAATTGCCTTTTTTCTTGACATTGAACCATGTCCTCCCTGACTATATCTACAGCTCTTTCACAGTTTGGCAAAACGGTGTAAAATGATGTGGCATATCTATATGTTGTTATACTCAATTATAACCATATCCAAATGTGTACAGCAAATATTCAACGAATACATCAATTCACAGAACTAGAAACAATTCACAATATTGAGACTCCATATACAGTCAAATGTAACCAGTCTACATATGGGCTAACTTAGAGCCTTTCACATTGACAATAAATAAACCAATTCACTAACTAAGTGTGACTGTTCGGATTGCATATCAACATCACGTGACTTATATCTATATTTAGATCCACGTTTCTCGGTTGTCGCAAGCAGGTATGCACATGATAAAAGTTCAGCTTAACCTGATAAACGAGATCAATAAATATTCAGGACAGTGTCGGATTTATTGTTAGTGTATTCTTACAGGTAGGAAACGTCTTCGAGAAAAAATATTTACCTTGATATTATCTGCCTTTATCAAATTCTTGCATCCGAAATTAACGTACGAACATACTCGTTGATGTGCAGGGTAACTTACATTTGCTTCACACACTCTGATCTATATCGGCCTTTTGTGTATTTTCAAGGACAGGCCATGAACTACAATCATTGTATTTCAGTTGCAAAATGGTTACGTCCCTCATTTATCAGTGAGTGAGTCAGTGAGTGAGTCAGTGAGTGAGTCAGTGAGTGAGTCAGTGAGTGAGTCAGTTAGTGAGTTAGTGAGTGTTACACCGCTTTTTGAAACAATCCAGCAAAAACAAAAGGAAATTCATATCAGGCGAATAGTTGTTTATGTTAGTTAAACCAGATGTAACTTAAGTTTATTGTTGTTATTACCATATAGTTATTTGCACTCTTTTTGCTATGTGAATATTTTACATCAAGTCACACACAGTAAGTCCAATTCCCAATAAGATAAGTTATTTTGATCTTATAATGCAACACCTATCTTCAACGTTGACAGTAACAGATGATAAGCGTAGGTCAATGCCAGAAAGTCGTTCCGGGCCAGGACAAGACAAGTCATAGTTATTATGTGCAAAATATTCCATAACCAACGACCGTACCTACATGTACATGTTTTTGGTGCAATATATATACATTACTGTAATTACCAATTACAAACCATAAACCAAAAAACATAATTAAGTTATTTGCGAGTAAATTGCTTTGAAATTTGTTTTGGCTACTTGATATATATTTGCCCGCATATGCACGTTTCGTTTGAATATTTTGCACACCGTTTATAGTTTTAGTCGCTGGCTCGGCCGGGCTCGACTGAAGCGTCTACCCGGAATTAGTTCCAAAAACATTCATTTGTACACCAGCAATGTGTCCCGATAGTCGTGCAACCACCACACGACACACATGACGTGCGCGGTGACCTAGATTTACTAATCAATTCAGAAACCTGGTCCTTTTGTAATAGATAGGGACGAATGACAATTTTTTATCGTGATACAGAGCTGGGTGAACACTGGGCGATAAACTATTGTCACTCAAGCCATTCGAGTAAATCTCGAGATACATGCAACACGAACGCCACAGTTGTATACAAGTGTATACCATGGGCTACATTATCGGGATATATATCTTCTACACGTGACCAAGATCACGAACACTCATTGGATACGAGCCTTTAGCTTTGCTCTAAGGATCTCTAATACAGACGAGTTCGAAGGAGGAATAAGGTTAATATACCCAATGATACATGGACTATTGTAATGTTCTTAAAACAAAAGAAACTGTACACAGTTAGTTATGAATAAAGTACAGACGTGGAACATATCGATTCCTTCACACAGCGGAACGTCTTGATCAACAGCTTATACCCGGAAGTATTTCCCACCTACATTGTAAACTTATTCAATATTCATGTGTATGAGTCCTTGAACACATAAAACTCTTCGCTTACCTTAAAAAAAACTCTTGGGTCAATATCCACGCAATCGATCTCAATTGACGTCTCTTCGTTAACTACGAACCGTACATGGAATAACACTAAGCGAGTAACGTGGATCTAAAAATAGGCGTCACGTGATATGAATATCAATTGAAATCCGAATAGTGAGGTTGTGTTGAAACTAAATAGTAATATATAAGAGTTTTATATTTACCATAGGTAGCTATTTATATATACCGTGAATACATGATACCTTTGATTAAGAGAGGTTACCTCCCCTATTAACTACACTACCCGCATTCTTGATTATTCAGTGAACTGCATTTTATGTTATGATTAATTCCATGGGCCCTTTCGCCATAAGCCTCATTTTGGATTGATGTTTGCATAACTATGGCTTACCTCACACAGAAGTCCTCTCGCTCGTGGGCCTACTTTGTCGGGGTGGTTAACGTAAGCGTTGTGTATATATTCAGAATCAAAGATAAAAACGAAGCTTCCTGTTTTGTGGGTCCGGGGTATTTTCATAGCAGAATGAAGATGTAAGACACTGGATAATCAAGCAATATTATTCTGTTACGAGCCTCAACGGGTTACAGTGAGTGAGTGAGTTGGGTTTAACGCCACTTTATTCCAGTTATATCACGGCGTGTCAGCTTAATGTGGGAGGAAAGCCCGAAGTGATACAAGCCCCAGACGTTTACCACTTCGGCGAAACCCAGGAGCACGGGTATTGTGCTGACAAACCTAGAAACATAATCGGGGCGAACCCACAATTATAGGTTTCTGGCGCCCCCAAGGGACGCAACACTGCACAGCGAATCGCGGTGCCGTAGACGACTGGTGCCCCCAACCGGTTACAGCAAACAGTAACCATATGATGCGATTTTAGCTGTATTGTTCCAAACTCTGTAACAACATTTCTGTTATTATTAATCAAGCAATAGCAGTAAAAGTGAAAAACTCAACGACAATAGAAGGTACACTATTTAATGTTAATCAGCAGTAAATAATATACCATGGGACAAGGCCATAGAGATCGGTGATTATCATGATCATGGGAAGTGTTAAAGCATTATCAAAGGGGTCAGAAATGTAAGAGTACACTGTTTTTGTTTGTTTGTCAGTCAGTCTAATTTGCGTTAATATAATCATTGATCCATGAGTTTCTTTACATCAGCCGCTTTTGACAATCGTACCTGTGAATAAATGTGCATGAATATCCCAGTCTCACAGAGTTTCGATATTAATATGTATTTCTTTTCTGAGTGAAAATATAACAAAGTGTTGTTGTGTCTAAAGTGGATATAATACATCACACATAAACACTTTTGACTTTATACCGCGTCCTCCAGTCGACTGAAATCCGAACAGTGAGGCGCTTGTTTAAACAACTCTGGTGACACGATGATACAGGTTCGCCACAAGGCTATGTCTTGTACTTAAAGCATAATGAATTTTAACCCATGCCGTGTAACAGTTATAACTAACACATAGTCGGAACAGGATAACATGCATTAAGCCTGGGATATACTTAATACATTTCTTTGCATCAACCTCTAGTTATTAACACCACACAGCCGAATACATTACACATAAACACTTTTGACATTCTTACCTGTTAATAGTTTTGAATGAATATCCTATTGGCAGACAGTTTCATTATTAGCCGTATGTATATCTCCCTGGATGATAATATGCCTTGTCGTGTCCGTGTGTGTTTATATCTGAAGTGGATAGTCACATGACAACACCGCAGCAGGTTAGTCAATGGTATCGAGAAACGTGGATCTATCAATAGATATATAGCGTCATGCTATCGACTGAAATCCGAACAGTGAGGCGCTTGTTTAAAACAACCCTGATGACAACATGAAAGAGGTTCGCCACGAGGCTATGTCTTGTACTTAAAGCATAATGAAATTTAACCCATGCCGTGTAACAGTCATAACTCACCCCTGAAAACTGTATATTGCAATACTCTAACTGATACCCCTATTTTTCATGTCGACTTTCTATTTGTCGAATGAAACGGTCGACAAAAGATCCGAAAAGTCAGAGTACCTTGGATATAAATAAGTATAACGAAATGTTGGACAGTATTTCATTTACATGAGGGGCGGTCGGGTAGCCTAGTGGTTAAAGCGTTCGCTCATCACGCCGAAGACCCGGGTTCGATTCCCGACATGTGTACAATGTGTGAAGCCCATTTCTGGTGTCCCCCGCCGTGATATTGCTGGAATATTGCTAAAAGCGGCGTAAAACCATACTCACTCACTCACTCATTTACATAAAGGTCATAGACGTACTACCATTCAGTGAAACCCACGAGTATGTTGCTGACAAACCAATGATGTTATGCATGTCGAGTTTGGATTCGAACCCAGTGAAGTAATCCTGTCACCACACAGGGCACTGCAGCGACTTAGACGAATAGAACAAGAGAGAGCAAGAGAGGACACTCAAATTTATTTAATGTACTATTAAACATCGGGTCTATACATTGAATTACTGTGCATCAATCTCTGGTTATAATCATTATGCAATCATATAATGGTACATAAACAATTTTGATCATGACAATCTTACCTGTGAATACCACTCTTTTAAACAGTGTCCATATTATCCTTATGTATACCTTCCTGGGAAAATATGACAACAATGTCGCTGTGTGAGTGTGCGTATTATATTTAAAGTGGATAGTCACGTGGACAAAGCCGAGGCAAGTTAGTCAATGATATCGAGAAACGTGGATCTATTAATAGGTATATCGCGTCATGCAGTCGACTGAAATCCGAACAGTGAGGCGCTTGTTTAAAACAACTCTGCTTACACACCATTAAAGAGGTTCGCCAATAGGCTATGTCTTGTACTTGAAGCATAATGCAATTAAACCCATGCTGTCCGTGTAACAGTTATAACACACCGCTGACAACTGTATATCGCAATATTCTTTCTGAAGAAAGAAGATCCGAAAAGTAATAGGTTTCCTTGTTGAATAAGTGTAACTGCCAGAGGAGTGAGTGAAGCAGTGGATGGTGTTTAACTACCTACTCATTGGAATCAATTTACGAATCTGGATCAGATAAACCAGCGACTGGAAGTATGAGCAACGATCCACCTCTTCGGGACAGAGTGACATCAATCAGATCAGTCATCGAACCTGAACATCCCATCGTTTATTGCCGACAAGCAAAAGTTACAAACCTATTCAAGAAACCCCAGGGAATCGCACCAGAAGAAAGTTGATTACCAGTTCAAGGTTAATTGATGTTTGAAGTATTTGTCACTTGTTTTTGTTTTGCCCAGTATGTGAAATTACTCATTCATTTGCTCATCTTTTAAACATTGATATTAAAGTGAGCATATCAGGTACGTCAAATATGGAAGTGTGACTTAGGGGAACCAAACATTTTACAGACTTTTGGATGACGAATGAATAAAGCTACAGTGAGAATATTGATTGATTAAATTGTTTATAGCGTCGAATTGGACAGTATTTAATGTTGCAAAGGCCGTAGTGATAAAGGTTATCGATGTACCGCCATTCAGTGAAACCCATGAGTTTGGTTATGACAAACTAAAGATAATATGCATATCGATTTTGGAATTCGAACCGCAATCAGGACATCCTGACACCACTCGGAGCAATGCGGCCACTTTGACGAATGGAACACCAAGAGCAAGAGAGAACACCCAAATCTATAAAATCTACTATTAAACACGGGATATATACATTGAATTACTGTGAATCAATCTCTGGTTAAAAAAGTTATGCAGTCAAATATATTACACATTCACAATATTGACAATCTTACCTGTGATAAGAATAGAATGAATACCGCATTTTAAACAGTTTCAATATGATCCGTTTGCATCCCTCGCAGTGTGAAAATATTATAAAGCGTTGCTGTGTCCGTGTGCGTATTATATCTAAAGTGGATTGTCACGCTACAACGCCGAAGCATGCCAGTCAGTGATAACGTTGATCTATCAACAGGTATGTGGCGCAATGATACAGACCGAAATCCGAATAGTGAGGCGCTTGTGTGACATTACCGACATAATACAGTAAAGTACGGTTATAACGAACTCAAAGGGACTACTAATTTTAGTTCGTTTTAACCGTAGTTCGTTATAAGCATATAAACAGCATAACTACAGCAAATAGTCGGGACCAAAAAAGAAGTTCGTTATATCCGTCAGTTCGTTATATGCGTGTTCGTTATAACCGTAGTTTACTGTACAGCAGCTTCAAATAATTATTCTTGTTTTTGAGTTAAAAGTGATTAGGAATTGAATTAAAATCAATAAGTGCTAAATATAGGATATATCTGTCATTTCCCTTTATTACAATACAAAATAAACACAACCCATTGTCAACTTCATGTCACCCTTCTATACACGCATGAATGTAACGGTCGTCAAAAGAAGATCCGAAAAGTAAGACTACCTCGTAGGGTATATATACGCGTAGAATGGCCAAAGCAGAGAGAGAGAGAGAGAGAGAGAGAGAGGGAGAGAGAGAGAGATAGACACAGAGAGATACATAGACACACACAGAGAGAGAGCGAGAGAGAGAGAGAGAGAGAGAGAGAGAGAGAGAGAGAGAGAGCGATAAGATGTTGTTTAACGCCCTAATGTATATTGCAAAGCACTTACTGAAACCCCCTATATTTCATGTCACCTTACCATACAAGCAAGAATGTAATGGTCGTCAAAAGAAAATCCGGAAAGGGACATGTAGGTTACCTCCTAGGGTATACACAGGTATACTGGCAAGAGGTGAGTGTGAATGGGTGGATGTTGTTGAACGACCCACTCGTAATCTTAAATAATCGAATCTCGACCAGATAAGCCAGCGACTGGAAGTATGAGCAAAGGAACACATAGTCGGAAAAGGATAACATGCAATCAGACTTGGATATACTCAATACATTTATTTGCATCAACCTCTAGTTATTAACACCACACAGCCGAATACATTACACATAAACACTTTTGACATTCTTACCTGTTAATAGTTTTGAATGAATATCCTATGGGCAGACAGTTTCATTATTAGCCGTATGTATATCTCCCTGGATGATAATATGCCTTGTCGTGTCCGTGTGTGTTTATATCTGAAGTGGATAGTCACATGACAACACCGCAGCAAGTTAGTCAATGGTATCGAGAAACGTGGATCTATCAATAAATATGTCGCGTCATGCTATCGACTGAAATCCGAACAGTGAGGCGCTTGTTTAAATCAACTCTGATGACAACATGAAAGAGGTTCGCCACGAGGCTATGTCTTGTACTTAAAGCATAATGAAATTGAACCCATGCTGTCCGTGTAACAGTTATAACACACCCCTAACAACTGTTTATTGCAATATCCTTACTGAAACCCCTTATATTTCATGTCACCTTTCTATACAATCATGAATGAAATGGTTGTCAAAATTAAAGAAGATCCGAAAAGTTAGGTTTCCTTGTTAGATATGATTAAGTGTAACGGCCAGAGGGGTGAGTGAAGCAGTGGATGGTGTTTAACGACCAGTGCATTATTATCAATATTCGAATCTGGATCAGATATACCAGTGACGGGAAGTTTGAGCAAAGATCCACGACTTCGGGACAGAGTGACATCAATCAGATCAGTCATCGAACCTGAACATCCCATCGTTTATTGTCGACAAGCAAAAGTTACAAACCTATTCAAGAAACCCCATGGAATCGCACCAGAAGAAAGAAGATTACCAGTTTAAGGCGAATTGATGCTTTAAGTATTTGTCACTTGTTTTGTTTTGCCCAGTATGTGAAATTACTCATTCATTTGCTCATCTCTTTAACATTGATATCAAAGTGAGCATATCAGGTGCGTCAAATATGAAAGTGTGACTTAGGGGAACAAACAATTTTACAGACTTTTGGATAAGGAATGAATAAAGCTATAGTGAGAATATTGATTGATTAAGTTGTTGTAGCGTCGAATCAGACAGTGATTCATTTACCCATTTTTTAGTGATAAAGGTCATTGACGTTCTGCCATTCAGTGAAACCCTCGAGTATGGTGATGACAAACTAAGGATAATATGCATGTCGATTTTTGGAATTCGAAACACAATCAGGGAATCCTGACACCAAATAGAGCACTGCAGCACCTTAGACGAATGGAACACCGTTAGAGTAAGATTTGTTTTCTGTGTTTGTTTAACGGCGCACTCAGCAGTAAGAGCAAGAGAGAACACCCAAATTTATATAATGTACAATTAAACATCAGATATATACATGGAATTACTGTTGCATCAACCTCTGTTTATTAGTATTATGCATACCAATATATTACACATTTTGACAATCTTACCTTTGAATAGTTTCGAATGAATACCACACTTTTAAAACGTCTCCACATTATCCGCATGTATACCTTCCCGGTTGAAAGTAACATGACGTGTTGCCGTTTCCGTGTGCGTATTATATCTAAAGTAGATAGTCACATGACAAAGTCGAAACATGTTAGTCAATGATATCGGCAAACGTGGATCTATTAAGAGGTATATGGCGCAATGCTACAGACCGAAATCCGAACAGTGAGGCGCTTGTGTGACATCACCGACATACTACAGCAGCTTAAAGTAAAACGAATATTGATTATTTTTTTTGAGTAACTAGTGATTAGGAATTAAATGAAAATCAAAACGTGCTAAACATAGGATACATCTGCTAGCTTTTGTTTTACAA